ACCACTCCGAACCGCTCCTGCGAACCCTGAACCCCCCCCGCACACATCCTAAACTCTAAATAAGCCCCCCCCCCCCCAATCCCCCAGAACTTAAACCAAAAACATATCTCACTTCACCAATTGGGGCTTGGAGTCTGTTGTTTAGGGTTTAGGGTTTCCTCACGGCTCGCCCTGATAGGTCCCCGCGGCGGTTGAAAGGTCGGACCGGCGCGCAGGCGCTGCAACGGCGAGAAGGCAGGGGACCCAGTGAGGTCCTCTTAAAGGCTCATTGAGACGAGCAGGGTTTTGGGGCCTTTAGGGATGTTAGAGGAAGTTCTAGGGCAAGCCAAGTCTAGGGGCCATGTAGCTTCGTAGGACGAAGACTTCCCTTCTTGGGCTCCCTCCGATAACAGTTAGCATCCGTTAAGCTTTGGTGCGGCCTTCGTGGGCTTTTCTCAAGGGTTTGGGGGTTTGGAGGATGCAGGCGGTTCTTAGCAGGTTGGGCCGCGAAGTTAGGCACATCGACTCCGCTGCACCGGGGCTCCCTTCTCTGAACAGGTTTTCGTAATGGGACTGCAAACCGAGGGTGATGCACAAGCGACATACGCAGATGCATTATGACTATGCACATGCGTAGAGCACACGCGTAATGCGCACACGCGACGCGCACGCGCAATTTCTGCAAGACCGACCCCCACGCAGCAGGCAGCTCCTTTCATGCCAATGCCTCTTTGGAGGTTCGTAGGGCTTCGGAACCCTAAAAACCCTATGAAAACCCCAAAAAAAACCTATGACAACCCTATAAGAACCCTTAAAACCCTAAAACAACCTTATATAAAGACCCTACAAACCCTGCACAAAACCTAAACCGGGCGGGATTCACCGGACTGAGGGGTTAGGGGTTTAGGGTTTAGGGTTCAGGGTTTAGGGTTAGGGTTTAGGGGTTAAACCCAAAACCCTGCAGTAAACCCTAAACCCTAAACCCAGCAGGATTCCCGGCGGCGCCTGGTCGAGCCCGGCGGCGCGCAGCCCGACATCACTGCGCCGCCGCCCCGGCGTCCTCCAGGGGGTTTAGGTTTGGGGTTTAGGGTTTAGGGTTTAGGGTTTAGGGTTTAGGGTTTAGGGTTTAGGGTTTAGGGTTTAGGGCTTAGGGCTTTGGGCTTTGGGCTTTGGGCTTTGGGCTTAGGGTTTAGGGTTTAGGGTTTAAGTTTTTTTTTGGCCACCCGCCCAGCTGACTCAGAGAGATGCACTGCAGGGAACAATTTAGGTTTAGGGTTTAGGGTTTAGGGTTTAGGGTTTAGGGTTTAGGGTTTAGGGTTTAGGGTTTAGGGTTTAGGTTTAGGGTTTAGGGTTCAGGGTTTAGGGTTTAGGGTTGTGGGATTTAGGGCTATGTTTCTCTCCACCCTTAACTGACCTGGAGTAGTTTTGCAGGGTAACACTCCGGGAATCTTGCCAAATTCTTGAAACGACCGGCGCGTGAAGGTCTCGAGGTTGGTGGGGAACTGAAGAGTTGAGGCTTTTGGGGCTTGGGGTGCAGGGTTTAGGGCGTATAGGGTTCGTGCATGACCTTAGAAGATTCTTGGGAGACTCTACTCTTTCTTAGGGGATAGAATTATTGGGCATTTAGACCCTCTGAATAAGGTCCCTGTTTAAGAGAGCCAGAAGAGGGTTAAGAAGGGTTCCCGTTTAAGGGCCGGCCTTATCCTACCTAAGATTTCTGGAAGAGATGCCAGCACAAGGACAAAGCAGCCCCCCCAGGGTCTCTGTCGCCGGGCTGGCAGGGCCGGACATGGCGACAAAAGGCGCGGCCCAGAATAATATAGGGTTTAGGGTTTAGGGTTTAGGGTTTAGGGTTTAGGGTTTAGGTTTTAGGGTTTAGGGTTTAGGGTTTAGGGTTTAGGGTTTAGTGTTTAGGGTTAGGGGCCTTAATATATAATGAGAATAGGGTTTTGGGGGGTCTTATGGTATGTTTACAAAGGGGTCATAAGGGAATACTAGTTATTCCGACCCCTACATTAGCAAGGCCCACTCGCAGCTTCGCGGTTTGGGTCGTAAGACATGCGGCCGAAGCATGGCACGACACCAACAAAGTGCGCTCAGCTCCAATGTAGCATCATAGATGGCATGGTTTTGTCACGTCAACTACGCCGTTTGCTCGGTTTCTGCAGATTGTGTTCAGGGTTCGAGGTTGCGAGCTGGTGCCATGGTCACCTACGAATGTCTCTTCTAGGTATTGAGCCGGCGCAGCCACCGAATCTTGCTGGCACTTAGTAGAGAACCAGGACACTCAGGTTTAGGGTTTCGTTTAGGGTTAACGTATAGTACAGGGCTCGGGGCCCAGGGTTGTGCGAGCTAAGTCCTAACTTCCCTACTACGAGGAGGAGTGCGAAACTGCATTCGGCCACGGCCGCAAACGCGGGCATCCTGATGAAACACACACTTGGAGGCTGCAAAATTGTCGTCGCAGGTGCGGGGCATTCTGTAGGCGACCCCAACGTGAAGGAATTTCTTGCACAGCCCCTTGAACCTTCACCTGTTGTCTGACCATTGTCTCACCCCAAACCCTGAACCAATCGCATTGCCAACGTCCACAAGACAACCAAAGACCAAGGACCCGGCGTCAGGCCACAGCGTCCACAAAGGTTGGCGGCCTGGTCGCTTGCCACTGCCCTGCACCCAATGCCGCAGGCCTCTGAATCTGACTCTACATGCCACAAAAAAAACCCAAAAGGTTTGAAGCCAACACCACCCAAAGCATCTCGCATGAAGATCGGGTCGAGACTGACATTTTTGAACGTAGTTTGCAGGTGCCGCTCTGACTCTCAGGGCAGCCAAGAAGTTCGACTTTTTGCCAGCAAAGAAGAAAAAAGCGCATCTCGACAGTATGTGGCGGTAAAAACAAAGGCAATGCCTGCAGGGAGGTCTGCAGGAAGAATTGCTGTGCTCTTGCAAAGAGCCATGCTCTCAACTGGAAAGTTCAGAACTGGTCTTCTAGATGGGGGGTCGTGCTAAGATAGGGTCGCCTTGTGTGCATGTGTGCGCGTACCTGTTGGTACCTTAATCCTGCTAAGCCGGATCCTCAAAACGATCTTGATTTCTAAAACACCCTCGTAGTTATGTTGAAGTTTCCTGAATGCCTATGCCTCGGCTGCGTCACACATCGTCACAAAGCCCTTTGAGCCCTTTCGCTCACTCTCGCAGAGTTTAGGGTTGAGAGCGCGCGCTCACATTCCCCAAGCGTGCGGGGCTGCACGTAGCTGCGAGCGGGGCAGGTGCACACGGGCCGGGTGACACATGGGAGTTGTCAAAAAAGGGAACTGCTGTGAAGTAGTATCTTGGTATTGTCTACTGATACTAATTTTCTCAACCCTATTCTCAGCAACGAACCCCCACAGACAGGTGACGGTGTGTTGGGATCAAGTTCGCTCCACCCACCCCGTGCAAGACCTGCGCCAAATGGGACCCCTGCCCTCCGTCCTGCCTCAAACCCTTCAAAGCCTTTAAACTCTTTAGGCCCCTAGAAGCCCTGAAGCCGAAGTGGCCAAAAACGCAGGGGAAGGCCTAGACTGCGAGGGAGAGAGAGAGAGAGAGAGAGAGAGAGAGAGAGAAAGAGAGAGAGAGAGAGAGAAAGAGAGAGAGAGAGAGGGAGAGAGAGAAAGACAGGGAGTCCAGATGGTCCATGTGGTCTTATAAGGATTATAGTAGCATAGGGTAGATGACCCCAAATTCTCAGGGTTCGTTTGGTTTTTCCGGGGTAGGGCCTAAGGTCGTCTGGCCAGAACCCTGCCAGCAGTAGCTCCCAAGATTGCGTTTTAGTGCAGGTACCGAGGCGCTTAAGGGTCCCGTGTGCTGCGCTGCTGGGTGCTGAACACTGACTACCAGCCTGCCATGCAAGCAGAATAGGGAGGATAAACTGTACGAGCCTGCGTGCCCAGCTCGGAATGCTGCTGGCTGTGGCGTTGGTTTTGCTTTGCATGCTTCTGGCTTCTCGATTCTCGATCTGCTCTACTCTCACCGCCCCATGTCGGAGCACCTTAGACCGATGAACCTACAAAAAGCGCAGTCTCTCGCTTGATGCGAAATCAGCCCATGCGCCGTGGCAGCAAGTGAGGTATCTTCTGAGACTCTGAGATGAACCGCGAATCGCGATCAACCTTTGCAAACCTTTAGCAACAACTTCCCTCATGGTTCTTAAGCCCTTTTCCCTAAACCCTAACCTAAACCCTAAACTCATGGAGGGCCTATGCACACCCCCCACTCCTCGCCAAGCCCGCATGCAGTCCGACCTGCTTTGGCCGCGCCGGCGCAGCAAAATTGGAGGATCCCCAATGTGTCGGCCGGGGATGAGGAGGACGATATCAAAATGTGTCTATACTTCTACTAGAACAAGAAGAAACATATACAATATATAGATATATATATATATAAGAGTTATATAAGTCCTAAGGGAACTTAGTTAGGTGTAAAGGCCCGGCAAGCGGAACCACAAGAAGCACTTTGCACCATGCGGGGGTGTCGCTCCTTTCGGCCCGGGCGTGCGCTGGCCAATTTGGACAGCCACATCAGCCGACCACGAGATCGGGGGAAGCTTGCGGCTGGGAAGCTGCTTCGGGCGCGGCTACACCGATTCCAAAATCCATGGGGCACAGGGGGTTCCCCCAACAAAAATGGGGCCATTGGGGCCTCCCTTTGTGCACCGAAATATGTAGTAGAATCCCCCCGAACAAGACCCCTACTCTTCCAACACTCCCATATTCAGTCATTGGCTTGCTGCAACCCAATACGAGCCTAGAGCAACTTCTTTTTAGGAGGGCAATTGTATCATCTTCGGTTGAGGGTTTTGGGTGGAGGGTAGGCTCCAGCCACATCGCCCTATAGCAGCCGCCCAGGGGGGCGGGGTAGCGAGGCTACCGGCCCCTTGTTCTTCACAACATCCGCGACTCACTCGCACCTGGCTACAAAAGCCAAACACACAGCCGACCCCAGGCGAGGGCCGCATAGCTCAAAGGTTGACAATCCATGACCTGAGAAGGCCACGGGCAGGAGTGAGTCATTGAGGGTTGCCTGCACATGGCAGGAGCCGGCTAATGCACGTCCTGCATGCGAAGACGTCGTGCATGTCGCACATCATCCGCATGCTGTTAACGAGCAGCACCAAACTCCGAAGGGATGGGCATGGGCGTCCCCCATACAAGCCCAGCACTCAATCTGCAGCTCATCAGGAAGACAGTTTAGTGCTGTCTGCAGTGAACAGTCGAGCATGGACCCCTGCAGCTGAAGGACAAAGCTGTTCATCTAAACCTCGGGACAGTTTAACCATACTTTCGTAAGTGGCTGGGCAAACAAACTAGACGTGGTTTCCTCCAGGTTCGTTCATGCCAGGTGTAGATGTGGTGCGTGGGAAGCTAGCTAAACACGCAGCATGAAATGTACTGAAGCAGGGAAACAACAGATTGAGTGCTTCCGCTGTCCCTCGCCTGCTGCTCAACAGGACCTTTCCGCAGCTCACAAGCGCGCGACCTGCTGCGCGTAGATCCTGCAGGTTTTTTGGATGCAACTTTTGACCAACAAAACAGTCGCCTCCGGGTCTCTCTTGTCGTAGAAGTGTTTTGGGAGTTCCTTGCAAGTGCCTGCAATGTGGATCTTAAGCCTTGAGCTCTTTAAAGACTAGGGCTGCCCTTGTGGGCTTGAGGTTTTTGAAGCTCTAAGACTGCAAGGAATACAAAGATAGCTGCCCCCCTGTCCTGCACACGTCCTCTCTGGACAAGCAAAACCTCGGCTTTCGAAGGACCGGGAAGGAAGCCCGACTCCGAACAGGACGATTCGCACTCACGGCTGCTTAGTTCTTCTGGGCAGGGTAGACTGTCATCAGCTTGTTCATCAGAGCTCCTTGGAAAAAAGGCAAAACCAGACCTGCCTACCGACACGGATCTGCCGCCAAAGGGCTCAGCGACGCGAGGGGGTATCATGCTCAGCTCTCCTGCGCCACGTCGCATTTTGGGCAAGATCCATGGGCAGATGCGACAGCGACTGATCATGTGGCCATGGCGAAAATGACCTTTGTGGCGAAGGCTCGGCACCCTGCGCGTGAAGGCTCAGGATTCGTTCTAGCTAGGGAACTACATATGGCGCCAGCCATGAGCTACGTAGGGCTTTTGGGTTGCTACCATTATCCTTCGAATTACAACGCCCCCGGTAAACCCTAAACCCTAAACCCTGAACCCTAAACCCTATAAACCCTAAGCCGAAAACCTAAACCCAAAAGGCTGGGGGAGCAAACACGGACCGCTCCAGGCTGCTCGGGCCCGGCGCTCTCACGCACCAGGGCTGCACGCGCCTGCGAGATTGAAGGGCTCTGGGCCTTCGGATGGCTTGAGATTCTTACAGGTTTACAGGGCTTGGGGGTTTAGAGTGTACACAGGGTTTAGAGAGTGTGGGGTTGACAGGGTTTATAAGACGCAGGAAGTCCGGATGGCTTGGGATGGTATCAAAGATTCACGGCGTTTCGGGTTTGTAGGGTTTAGGATGATTTAGGGCGCTTTGGATGGTTTATCGGGTTTAGGATTTAGGGCTTAGATCACCCGCTGCTGGATGACATGATCTGCATCGGACAGGCGAGGGCTTCGTAGCTCACAAATTTTTTCGGGTCTAGAGCGAAACCAAGAAAATGGAGAGGTCGCCATTTTGGTGCATCTGTAAATCCGAACGCTTGTTTTTAGCGGCCGCACGTGCTAATTCTACGGGGCCGTACATCAGGGACCGAACAAGGGACCACAGGGGATCAGGCGTAGGGCTTTTGGATTCGGGCTCTGTCTTGCTCTGCAGGATGTGAGGATGCTGATGGCTTGCAGGGTCAGGGCCTTCATGGCAGCCAGGGTTCAAGAAATGCCTAGCGCGGTAAAGGAAGCAACGAAATCTGAGTGCGGACGGGCAGCTTAAAGAATGATCTATGACAAGGACGCAAGTGCAGATACAAAGACCAGAAGCCATGGCCAAGCTCGAAAACACTCCTCCGGCCTGATGGCTAGACACGGAGAGCAGGTCATCCGGCATGGGAATGACCGAAACCTCAATTCCACCAACACGCTCGAGAAGTTTGGCGCCGACTGATCTTCTGTGCCAAGAGGCGTTCTGACGCAACCGCGCAAGGCGGACGCAAAATACGATGGAGTAACTGGCCGATGTTGCAGCGCGAAGGAGTCTAAGCAAACGATGCCACGCTTGGGTCGGTGCATGGCAGGGCGCGTGGCCGACAGCCTTCGCACTGCGAGTGGGCACGGGTCCCCTCAATTACATGAGCCCGCCTTTGAGAATACTTCCTTAGGCTCTACTCTACTGTACCTTGCGGCAATCCTGCAACAGATAACTGGTATTTTTTGGTCAGCCCAAACCCTAAAAATCTTGCCCTTTTGGTAGATTAATAGGCCAGTGCTATATCAGAAGTGCCCAATGAACCTGCGTTGCCGCCGCCAGGCGCTCGTGCGACCAGCCCTGCCAGGTCAGGCAAGGAACAACTTTAGGCTTAGGCTCTTGTTAGGGTCTAGGGCCTGTTTAAACTTTGGGTGTGGGGAAGGCATCTGTGATTGCCCAGAGTGACCATGCGTCGTGTTGAGTAGGGGAAAGTTGTTCGAGGCTACTGAAACCCTCTGAAAACGTGTTCCCAAGTATGATCCTCTTAAGCCCCACACAGGGCACGATAAACTATCCCAAAAGCCGACCTGGAGGGGCGCTTTTTCTAAAGAACGCCCCTAGAGAGCACTGAGAGCACCTCAGGAGTTGAAAAGAGGCCTCTCGAGTGAAGAGTAGCAGCTCGTCGCAGGTGTCGCCAGGCTGAAGACAGGCGCGCGCCTTTGATTTGAAGGCGGGAGGGCTTGACGAGGGCACAAACAGGCGCAAAGTAAAACACGCAAGTTCTGATACTCAGCAAAGGCTGGCGTAAATCTTGGCCCCAGCCCGTCTTGCGACCCTTGCTTGCGCAACACTACCAGGCTTCCTGCAAGACCACTGCAGCATGAGGTTTCGGCTTTCGTTGCCCAATGCTTCATGCCCTCGAACACATCAGCGCCTAGCGCAGGAGGGCATACTTTCCATCTAATGCCAGCTTGCTTGAACAATCCGCTTCCCCAGCACACGTCCCAGCTAAAATGGAAAGAGAAGGCTGCACTTTCCAGGTGGAAGCGTGGGAGATCTGAAGTAAACTCAAGTTCGCCCGAACTTCAGCACAAAGTGAAAAGCAAGTGTCCCCAAATAAAGCAGTCAGATCAGCATTTCTCTTTGCAAGAATGTTGTTTTCACTCTTGCTAGACATTCCTGTCAGCACACCGCAAAAAAAGCGCCACTACGGCGGTATAAAGGGCCACATTGCCCACAGCGCCTTTCCACGACGACTGCCCACATGGACATGTTCAGCAGTTCAGCCATCAATGTCTTTTTCGCGTCAGGCTGCCAGAGGCAAGCCCCAGTGCAATACTGGCCGCTATGAGCTGTAAATCATATATGTGAGAAGCAGCCATGTAGACGTACGCACTTTAGCCAGACATTGTACTCCAGGTTATGCGATTGACCTGTGAGGTAGTTGGGACCTCGACGCCCCGGTCATTGCGTGGCTTTCTAAGGGAACCCCAAAGAAGGGAAGTCGGGCTTGAACAAGACGAGCAGTGCTCTTATCTCAGGAGAGTGGACTTCGCACCGATGCGTTGTCAAAAGTTTAACCCTGTTGCATCCAGCGTGCTCCTTCAAGCACTACAGGGCGCCACTCTTCGCCCTCCAATGCCTCGGCCTCCCTCAGCCGAAACTCCCAGGTGGCATCCCTCACAGTGTGCCCTTGGCACAGCCGATTGATCTTGTATGGGCTCAGCCCCGTATGGTGGGAAGCAGCTTGCAGGGACCCGAAATCTAGCCAAGGCCCAAGCTCCGAGGCGAGTGTTAGGCGCGCCTGAACGGGCTTAGAACTGCCGACCGCGTTCCGACGTCCTTGGCTATAGGCATGGAGTAAATTCTGAGATTTGGTCACATATTCCAGATTCCGTACATGATTGTTTGTTCGGTCGGAGTCTCTGTGGTTGACAACTAGGTCGGGCGATTCAGGCTGACCAAGAAATGTTGCAGCCACCAAGCGGTGCACCCTCAATGCTTTCCCACCCTTCTTCACCACACGGTAACCATCGCATGTGAGACTTCCACAAGTAGTATAGCCGCAGGGAAACTGCCGCGATTTCGACCAAGTCCTTCCATAGTTGCTCACCATCAGATCAAGGATCGGGCATGTGCTACCTGGAAGGAAGGCAGGCTTCCACGTTTCGCCCGCCTCCAATAATTCTGTCTCTTGGCTTGCCCAACGGATCTTACGAGTTACGCCGTTTCCAAAAGCTGTTTCACTTTTTCCTGGGCAACAGAGCGACACAGAGCTCTGTGAAACACTCAATCTCAGTGCAGCCTCTTTCTGCATAGACTCGTCGCCAGAACGGTGCCATTCAACTGCAGCACGTCGCCAAGTTGTAGAAGTCAAGCGGTTGGATTCGCTGGCATACCGGTGGCGGATGTTCTCTGCAGGCGATACATACTCCAAATTAGCCACCTGATTGTTGCCCCGATCTCTGTCAATGTGATTCACCTGCCACTTCTCGGCAGTCGGGAGACCAATGAAAGTGGTAGCAACAAGTCGATGAACAAAATAATGCTTCCCCAAGATTGTGACGGTCAAATACCCGACCTTCAGAGACCCACTACTTACACGACCTCTGGAGTTTTGTACACGGCCATGAGAACTGACCTGCCAAGAAAGGGTTCTCCAGCGCGCCTGCAGCACCCAGAAGCTTGGCACAACATGTCGTGATGACGTGCAGCAAAGGGCACCGAAGAGGCTCATGAGCGATCAATCCAAAGGCACTTGCACAAGGCTCTCCTTGCAGAAGTTCACGATGGGGCACAATGACGGGCAATCATGTCAGCTGCGCATGTCTTAGCTGATTGCGATTGACATGGTGCACTTGTCTCTGCCCGATGACTCGATGTCCAGCGTCCAACAAACCTTGAATCAAAGCATGCAACCTCCATTCAGGTGTGTGCGACCTGCCTTCCTCCGACTCTATGTGACAAGAGGTGCCCGCCGTTTCTTTTCCGAACTCTATATTTTATCTCTCCGTACCCTATACGTTTCTAAGATGAGGCCCTCACCATGAGCTGTCTAAACCCCCACGAGCCTACAGCCCACGTCAACGTGCCACGCCCGGGGCCGCCCAGGAGCGCCCGCAGCCTCGGAGCATCCCGTGCCTTTTTGGCAAGCGAAGACATGTGCACAGGGCTGCCCACATTCGCATGTCAGCTTGGGCCAGCGCACTCGAAAGAGTTCCACCTGAGCTCACACCAGCGGCACAAAGAGTTCCAAACGCTCGAGACCAGCATCTACAAGAGTTGATAGGGTTTGTTTTTTTTGTTTCTGGGGTTTATAGACTGGAGGGTTTTCAGGGTTCTATGGCTTGCGGAGTGTTTGCCACCCCATCCAGCGGTCGCTCCGCAGGGCATACTTGCTGATGCGAAGCAAAGTTTGCCTAAGTGTAGTTTGGGTTTCTGTTTTAGGGGCCCTTACGCTGTTGTTTTTCCGCAGCCTGTCGAACGTTCGATCGGAGGCTGCTTGGTCTCAGAAGCTGAATCTTTATTTTGGGATCTCATTCGGCCCCTCTCACTCAAGTGCCCCGAAATTCGCAGGAGACTATAAATCACCCCTGAAATTGGTATCATATACCCTAAACTACTGCAACTCCGTTTCAGGAATATGGGCCGTAAACCTAAACCCTGTAGTTTTTGCAATCAGGTTTGTGAGCCGCCAACCGGGGGTAAGTCGCAGACTGATGCACACACACACACACAAACTCCAAACAGCAGCGCTCGTGGCTACATGCTGATATGGTGCATTTGAAGCCCCCAAACCTATTTTCCAAACCCGAGCCGCAGGGCGGCGCAGCAAGAACAACGAAACGGAAAGAAGCAATGCATGGCCGCATGGCCCACCTATCCTCATGATGCAAGTAAGTGAAGCCCTGTCAGGAATCATGACGTCCCCAAAAGTTAAGGCTCGTGCCGAAGTCCCGAGCTCGGGCCCCAGGTCGCGGCGCAAACAGCCGACGCCTGCACGGAGGCAACATTGAGGATGTTTCGGGGGCATAGTTTCCCTTTAAACTTCCTGGGAGACCCGAAAAAAGGGTACCCTTATTTTTTGGGGCTCCAGACCATCGCGGGCTTCGCCGTTCTCGAACCCCGAAGTTCTTGAATCTCGTCGTTCTCGAAGGGCGCCACTAAGTCCAAAAGCAGCTATGGCATGGCTGTTTTTCAGAACTCCCACAGGCAGTGGCGGCCCTTGCCATTCTCCGGGATTGTAGAACAAAAAGCTACTGCACAAATTACCAACAGGGCGGACGTGGGAGGGGGGCGCTTCATTTAAAGCAAAAACTCCCCCCTCATTCACGTCCATCCTTCAGGGGTGTGTTGGGACTGGAGCCTGCTCGGCCCCGCAGAGGCGACTCCTCCGTGAGCAGCTCGCACATCTCAATGCGCGCCTCCCACAGAGACGGTTCAGGGTTTACTGGGTGAAGGGCTGAGAAATCCCGGCAGAAGAATTCTGAAGGTTGTACATTGGCCAGACCTGAAGAACGCAACTGTGTTCGAGGTGTGGGTGTGGATGCAAAACCTCCTCCACACACGCCCTGCTGCCTCCATGGTCTCGTTCTGCCATCCTTGGCAAAACCCAGGTTGGGGAGCGAACCCGCAGGAGTAAGGCATGCAGGTAACTAGCAGTATAGCTACTTGAAAGAGGCCTTCTTCTTGGGGACTCAGCAAAACCCAAAATTGGGATCGCATACCGCATACCCTATCCTACCACAATCCGAATTAAGGTATGCGAGTATGGGCAATAAAATCCGTTAACTTCCATTATTTATCCCCACGACTCTGCTGATTCTTGAGTTGACGAGACGAGAATGGCTACATATTGCAGTCGCGCAAAGGTGTCTCCCTTTGATTAGCAGAAGTCAGCACGTGTCACCGGAGGTCGCTCGAGCACGCTCAAGAACATCTGGGCACACCTTCCGCCACTCTTCGCCTGGCAGAGGCTCTTCCACGGCAAATCGAAACTCCCAGTCTCTGCATTGCGTGCTTCGACCGTGGCAGATTCTTGATATGGTCCATCTCGAAACCCCAGAGTGCACAGATGCTGCCTGCATGGACTTGAAATCAAGCCAAGGCCCTTTGCAACTAAACCTCCGGGCCTGCGCCGGCTTGCAGTTTATGGGCTCGCGCTGCCGCCCCACTCTCTGCAAATACGAATGCCTCGCATTCTCAGAACGTGTGACGTACTCCAAGTTCTCAACGTGGTTGTTACCACGGTCACAATCTTTGTGATTGATATCCAGCCTGGAGTCTGGCTGGTCCAGGAAGCTCGCTGCCACTACGCGATGTACCTTCAGCTTTCGGCCCCCGGCCGAACATGTAAAGTAGCCATCGCCATCTCTGCTTCCTTGTGAAACTTGACCTCGCAGACTATTCCACACCCGGCCGAGGTTGCTTACCATCAGGCCCGGAATCAGATCCTTGTTGTCTGGATGTTTGGCATCTCGCCACTCTTCATCGAGGGCAGTGATAGGCCTGCGCTTATGCGGTGGATCCACCCACTTGACTTCATAGCGAGTGCCAGGAACCGGCCCAACCATGTCTTCACGTAAGCTGCCACAACATCGGGAAATTTTGCTTCTCGATATTCCCATCTGGCTGGCGACCTGCACTTGCGTCGCACACGTGCGCCAGGCATCCTGCCCCATAATTCGCCACATGACGGGCTTTCCTGATCCCTTCCTTGCAGGGTTTCTCTGCCAGGAGTGTTGCGTGTTTTCTGCCGGCGATACATATTGCAGATTGCTCACATGGTTATTGGAGGGATCGCCATCGAGGTGGTTCACCTGCCACCGGGCAGTGTCTGGAAGCGGCAAAAATCCTGCTGCAACCAGCCGGTGTACGAAGTAGAACCGTTTGTTAATGCCCACACGGCAGTATCCAGACGGAAGAGTGTAGCCGAAGCTCACCCGACCAGTTGTAGACCTCACCCGGCCACAGGAACTCACCTGCCACGCACCGGTCTTCAAACTTGATTCCGTCCGGGTGCTGGCCAGGTTCGCAAAGTAGCGCGTGATCTGCCACCTGAAACCCCTCGCCGCCCGCAACCTTGCTCCAAGGAAGCGCATTGTCAAGGCACCCCGGCTTGTGCAAACTGTTGCTCAACACTTGCTGCAGGAGTCCAATGGCTGCGTTCATAAACATGGCCACTGTGGACAGCAGAACGTGGCAGCCCAAGTCACACCACCATGGCCACTCCCCCCACCATCCCAGCAGGTCGCTCTCGACCCACACAGGGCACAAGAGCGAAGCTTCCAGACTCTCCAAATAGAACAGGATAATTGTGTAGCAAGAACCCTTCCCAAACCCGGCAAATCGCAACAGCCCTCAGTGTCAAAACCCCGTCCGCCCTCATCAAAAGCCTTCAGAAGTCTCAACCTCGGCTCTGGATGCTTCCCAGCGTCGCTCCTTGCCGGGCCGCGCAGGCTCGGGATCCAACCACAGAGCCGTGACCTGGCTCACAGAGGGCTCTGCTTCCGGGTTTCGTGCTCAGGTGGGGGGGGGGGGGGGTGTTCGCCCGGGGCTTTCTGGGGCGAAGATGGTTTCTAAGTCGAGACCATGGCTGCAACTTGGCTGCTCTGGCCTTATGGTCCTTGCAGATGGTCTCCGCAATATGTGCATGGGCACACCTTGGAATCAGGGCTTAGGCGTGCCCGTTGGGAAGGACCTGCGAAACGAATGCCGGGAGTGAGCGCATCAAAGTGCTAAGCGAATGACGTCGGAGGCGAGAAGGCCCCATTGAAGAAGACCTGGGAAGCCGTTACTCAAACCGAAATAGGGACATCGAGCAGCAATTCTGAGCCAGCAAGGCCGGCGAACCAGGCCACAGCTACAAAGCAGCCAATCCTAAACATGTAAGCAAGCCCTCGTTCAGGGTGCTCACACTGACCTCATTGAATGGGGTGCAAGCCAGGTGTTGGTCTCGGAGAGCCGCCGCAGCCGCCGGCATCTGAGTCTTGGAAACTCTTGCACAAAACTATAAGCACTTTCCCGTGGCACAAGAAAAACGTCCGCCCTTCCCTCAACTCGAATTCTGAAGTTGGCGTGCAAATGCCTCAAAGTAGGGGACCTGTTGAGACTGGCAGCTTTTCAGGAGGGTGTTGAGGGTAGCGTTCCGCGTCAGGCACCCACCTTTCTGCCACATTCACCGTAAGAGAGGCCGCGCTTGGAGGCTCATGGATAGTTAGAAGTAGGGTTGCAAGTACCCTTGGTAAGGGCATGGCATGTCACACTTCACTGAATTAATACTCATCACCCCACTTTTATTGCTACCTTTTGAACCCTAAATCCCAAACCCAAACCCTAAACCCCAAACTCCTACCCATGAACCTCTGAGTGCCCCAAGACCCGTGCGCCTCCCGGGCCCAAGCGGCCACAGAGGCCACGCTGGTGAAACGGCCCCGGGTGGCAGCAATGGCCTGCCGGATATCTGTGAGGGGGGGAATGGGGGCGGGGGTTTAGGGTTTAGGGGTTATAGGGTTTAGAGTTTATATTATAAGGTTTAGAGTTTATAAGGTTTAGGGTTTTGGGTTTCTGCAAGCACTCTCTGCCACAGCAGGCTCCATACGGTTCAAAGCCCAGGATTTAGGACCGCTTTGAAGGATTGTCGGCTTCATGGAATTGAGAGCATCTTGCGGACCTTGTGCGCGGCGAGGGTTTGGGCGAGAGATCATGGCTTTGAGCACTCGACATGTGCGGGGCCATGCGTTGTTGGTTGCGCAGTTGGTCTTCTCCACACAACCATCGCATTCCCTGAATTAGGGTCCCTTCTTGGGGGGGGATCAATTCGATAAGGATTGTAGTGTTGGGCACTCTTTAAGGGGTACTGGTATACTGGAAAAGACCTGACTGACCATCAGCCCGCTTGGGCGAACCATGCACACGCCTGCGTCACGGACATGGCCGGCGTCTTCGCGATCAGTGATGCCAGCGCATCCTCGGCACCCCAAGTCTCGCAAGAGAAAATGCGCCCTCTGTCTTCCTCTGCCGATCTCTGCAGGAACCCATGTACCCATACAAACAGATACAGTAACTAGGTAAAGTACTTGGTAACACATTGGGGCCCAACAATTCTCCATGAAGGATGATGAAAGGCTTTGGGCCCTATGAAGGTGGGTTGAGAGGTTTGCGGACTTCTCAAGTTGCAGTTTGACAGTTGGCTGCTCAGTCAGACATGCTTGCAGACGGCTTGGTTTGTATGCAAGGGCGGCAAGGAGGGATTTACCCCAAGGGCAACTTTGTGGACGAACTCCATGGCTGAGGACGATACTGCACGGTCCTCCAGCTCCCCGAAGCACATCACGGCGTAGAATCGGGGGGCCAGGGGACAAGAATGGAAGAAACAGTGGTGCAGCTCTTGTCGGGGGCAGGGTTCTAAGACGCGGTGCTTTCTGCCTTCTTTCTGTGCTGAACCTTAACAAGATGAATCATCTTTGCAATGCTCCCTCGGGTCTCGGTCTTGCAATCTCAAGAAGGATGACCCATGACTCCTAGGGGGGCTATCCCGATGTTGCCTCATGTGCTCCCTAACATATTGGAGCCCCCGGACTTGAAGCGGGCCGCAAGGAAGGATCGCACAAATGGCATGGAACAAGCAGGGCTTCCCAAGTGGATTGGGATGTTCCCCCTACTTTAAACAAACAGTCCTTAGTAGGGGTACAGTACTCTTATTCCCTAATCCCCATTAAAGGACTGTTAGTATAAGGGGGAACATCCCAACAACTGGAGCTCAAAAAGGCCTCCGGCCTGGGAGTTGAGGGTCTGGGTTTAGGCTTTGGGGTGTAGGTTCTTTTGCCACCTGCCTAGAGGCCTCGCACCACACTGCAACCCAAACGGTCGAAAGAGGAAAAAACACCAGTTACTGAGGTTGTTTTGCCAGCCGCCTAGCTGACCTGTACTGAGGGTTGGGGTTTCGGGTTTGGGTATGGGATTCGATCCAACTGGAGTCTGTCGGAGAAGTGAGAAGGCTCACCCACCATAATGTGGCTTGGGGTAAAGGCTCTGATGTCGACAGTTGGATGGTTTGCAAGCAGGAGCAACGGTGTCTGACTGCAACGAAAGGTTCTGGAATCCACCCAGCTGGGGGGAGTGGGGTGGAGGGTGGGTTGTACGAGGCAAAAAAGTTGGACAGCAACGTGGTGAAGGGAACTACCAGGTACATCTCAGAGGGGCCTCGGGGTTGCCACAGGCGGCGCAGGCCATTCTCTCTGCACTGTCTTTCGCGACTGCGGCGCTGGACCCGCTCTGAACCCTTAACCCTAAAACCAGATACAACGCAGCCCTGTTCTGAAGGATACATGCCGCAACGGGCATGCGCCGATCGGCAGGGTGTTTTTGACTGAACATGTTTCGATGTAGAGGTTGGGGGGTATTCTGTCGCTTCGGGCATGGCCGTGCTTCTTTGGGTGACTGTCAGCCTCATAGTATGGTTGGACATGTCTGCCCGTTGCATCCTCGTCGGAAAGCAGCGCGACGTAATGCGTCCTAGAAGCCTAGCGGGACTTGTCATGTCAGCTTCCCGAACAAAACCTCGAGCATCGAATCTGCAGCCAACAGGGCCGGGCAGGGCGAACGCAACTGCTCTGATCCTTGAAATGAACCCTAAACATGGGATCATTCACTCCCCAATACAGGGAGAGTATTCCTCAGCATATTTCGACAGCGGCTAGATTTAATTCAGCACTGGTCACAAAACCATCATGTTTACCATGATGTGCTAGAGAGAGAGAGAGAGAGAGAGAGAGAGAGAGAGAGAGAGAGAGAGAGAGAGAGAGAGAGAGAGAGAGAGAGAGAGAGAGCGAGAGAGAGAGAGAGAGAGAGAGAGAGCTTCTACACTCAAAGCAATGCAGGCTGACGTCCTAGGATGGCCCCCTTAAGACCCTCTGAGACATATTCCCGAACACGATCCTGCTTCAACCCAATAAGGGAACATGTAAACTGTCCCAAGGGCCCAGGGATACGATCCTCCTTAAATCCAACAAGTGAACATGTAAGATGTCCTCAAAAGCCTACCTAGAGTCCATGGGCGCACTCGGCATTAATCTTCTGCCCGCAGCGGGCGATGACCGCGGCGATGTGTTGGCTATCCTAGGGCTTTTAGTTTGTGGCTTCGCCTACTGGGGGAAATGAGGGAAGAAGGGTTTTGCACATGATGTCCTTAAAGAGTTTTTGGTAGGGGGAGGATACGCACCTAACCCCCGTAATTTCCGTCAAGAACTAGTAAGTTTAGGGCGTGTGCCACATTCCGGTTTCGAGTTTTCAGGCCTGCGGGATAGCCTCGGCTACAGACTCCATGGCAGCTGCACAGGTGTTCTCAGGAATTCCAGTCAGCTTCTCACATCACATCCTCCAAACCCTCTTCAACTCTGAGACAACACTTGGGAAGCAGTAAGTCGCAGGCCATGGAGGGCTCTACCTCAAGTCACAAGGCTGCTTCGATGATTTTGCAGCCCTCTTGAAGCTGGACTTGCGGACTGCCCAGAAATCCGAGACCCCGCAGCGAACACATCAACTCATGTCGAACATGTCGACGATCTGGAGTCACCAACAAGCACTCGGAGCGGTGGTGCTGGCTGAGCTGTAGACATTTAACGTCAGGTCGTAGGCAACCACCTCCTTGGTCTTTTCCACCAGGGGCCTAGGTCAGCACAGCCATCCTTCCACGCAGGTTCGGGCAACCTCAATCCCGTTTTGCTGCAAGCCTTCTTGGATTTGGAAACCCACAAACTTCTGCAACACCCCCCCTAGAAGCCCTGAGAGGCCCAAGTCCTACAGGACAAGTTCGGGTGGGTAGTCTCACGCACAAGCCCCGCAAAATGCGTCTGAGGTATCTATACTATACAGGTACACATATAGTATCACGTGTGTGTTCATGTGTTTGTTGACCCCTTCTAGAAGGCTGACATAACCATTCCATAACCCTGAACAGGTAACTATATGGAGAATGTAGTGGGACGCATCTGCTCCCAATCTTACGGTCCGGTCCCCAAGGCATATAGTCCAAACAAGAACCCTTCTATAAGGCACCCTACCGAGAACTCCCCTCCAGGAGAGTTGTCCATCACTAGTCGCTCCACCTCATCAGAACTTGGCAGGGGAGAAACCACATTAAAAAAAGGGGACACTTTGTTTTGGGGTAGTTACTTGGTAAGGGAACCCATAGGGTACCACTGGGCCACCAAGAGAAGCTGCAAGGGACAAGCTCTTGAGCTGGGCTTCAGCGCTCGATCACCTTCGCTCGCTTCACGAGCTGGTCGCAGGACAAGCCTGTTTATGCCGGAAGGAAGTTGAAAGGGAGGATATCCGGGACAGATCGGGGGGAATTCCTACATTCCTAAGACAGGGGTACCCTGTTTCGGGTTCCTGCTGCAAGGATGATGGCAGTTTGGTGGTATATGGGTTCTACACTGGCTCTACACCTCCTCTGGGTCTACCCATCTCACTCTTCATCTGGCTTGGGCCCCTCGGAAGCCTTGCAGGACATCCGAGTGGTTCACGACCAGGAACTTGTGGCCATCTGCGGCAACCTTGGTGCGCTTCCGGGACACGTGCGCACCTTTAAAAGCCGGTGGGCTGCGTTGTGGGGATGGTAGTTCCTCATGTTTTGCTGTTTCTGGAGTTGTGACAACGTCGCCCCCTTCTTTTGGGTAACTCGGCGAACTGTGAGCTTGTCAGGTACCTCAGCGCCTCGGTGATCCAACCGAGGCAGAACGATGGGCCCCTCCAGGCTCCAGGCGATCGTCTGGGAATGGATGTGGCCGTTCGGGGCGATTTGTCCTGGCTTCCATGGCAGAATTTTCGAAAAGTATGGAAGCCCTACATCCTAACCCTAAACCCCAAACCTAAAACCCTAAAATCCGGCACGTGACACAGCCCAGATGTCCTGGCGTGGCAGGTGGGAACCTGAAGCAAAACGTGGACACCTCAGCCCGGAAGGGAACTTTGTTTTTGACCTAAAGTCTTGGCGACTATAAGTGAGGGTTGAGGGTTGAAGAGAGAGGGTTTAGGAAAATGGTTTATGGTCTATATTTCGTGCTGGGAATTCTAGGGCAGGGATACATGCTTTCATTTTGGCTCTGATTTGGTCCCCAAGGACGTACTGCGCAGCATCGCAGGGACCAGTCAGACTTCCCAGAATGCCAAACACACCACACTCAGAGCCGACTCTCTGCATCTGCACCAAGTAAGGTCCGACTGGTGAAGAAGGGGTCTATTGATGGACGCCAGGGTCTCGAAGGAAAAAAAGGTGAAACGCGAATGGGCCTGAGCAACTTCATTCGCGGTCTGCGACTTGCACGGGAAGCAGCAGCTTGTTCATGGTCTCTAAACAGAAGATCAATTAAGCTCCCCTTCTCAGCAAGTCGCACCACTCTCGCATCAGCAGCTTTCAGCTCTTGAGCACCTATGTTGCATCAAGAAGTGAGGCCCACGCGGAAAGTGAGAGGAAAATATGAATGGGCCTGAGCAACTTCGTTTGCGACCTGCAGGTTGCGCCAGAAGCACCAGCTCCGTCTTTCCAGTCTAAGCCACTGACTACCTACAGGATTGCAGCCGCATCTTCGCAAGTCGCTCCTGCCGAAAAGCCTTGCCCTCCAGCTCTTTGAGATTTTGGGCGAGTTTCCACCATAGGTTTTCCCGATTCATGAACATCTAGACCGCTCAGCTGCGTCGCATGGCACAAGCCGTGAAGCCAACGGTGAAGCAGCAGGAGCCCCCAGCAATGATGAAGAAGAAGAGCCCCAGCAGCTGGATGATGTCGCCCTCCTCCTGAGATTGCTGCTGCTCGGCGAGGGGCGGGATGATCTTGATGCAGGCGGGGTTTGCACCTTGCTAACCCAGAAACCACATCAAAAAAAAAACTAAAGGAATCCTCTTTAGGGTTGGTTACCGGATAAGGGAGTCCTAGGACCCAACAAAATGGGCAAAAGGGTTTAGGGTTTAGGGTTTAGGGTTTAGGGTTTAGGGTTTAGGGTTTAGGGTTTAGGGGGCTTTCACTACGAAGGCACACTTGGCCCATGCCAACTCGCTGGCGCAGTCGCTGCAACCCTGAGCTCGCCAGCACGGCACCTGTTGGCCCGGACGACACGCACCTTTGTAGAAATGAACCCAACACTGTGGGGTTAGGGTTTAGGGTTTAGGGCTTAGGGCTTAGGGTTTAAGGGTTTAGGGTTTAGGGTTTAAGGTTTAGGGTTTAGGGTTCATATATACCCTGTGCTGCAATCTTCAAATTCAGGCACATGTGGACTCTCAAGACCCTTCTAGGCTTCACCTGGCTGGTTCTTCGTAGGGAATGAGGGAATGAGGGCCCTACATATACCCTTCAAGGGATTCTATCGGGCCCTCATTCCCAAAACCCCAAAACCCCAAAACCCCAAAACCCCAAAACCCCAAAACCCCAAAACCCCAAAACCCCAAAACCCCAAAACCCCAAAACCCCAAAACCCCAAAACCCCAAAACCCCAAAAACCCCAAAAACCCCAAAACCCCAAAACCCCAAAACCCCAAAACCCCAAAACCCCAAAACCCCAAAACCCCAAAACCCCAAAACCCCAAAACCCCCCCAAAACCCCAAAACCCCAAAACCCCAAAACCCCAAAACCCCAAAACCCCCCCAAAACCCCAAAACCCCAAAACCCCAAAACCCCAAAACCCCAAAATCCCAAAACCCCAAAACCCCTACTAAGAACCAGCCAGACATTTCGGCCAGACACTCTCGCAAACGAGGTCGCTGTCGTATCCGCCGGCGCCTTGGCATCGGTCTTCCACCGGCGCGAACCTTGCTTGCTGAGTTCAGAAGCCCCCAATAGGGTTTAGGGTTTAGGGTTTAGGGTTTAGGGTTTAGGGTTTAGGGCTTTTTTCCCTCCTGCACAGCTGGGGCGAATCCGCATCGCAGGGCGATGTCGAGTCCGACTGGTTACTCCGGTTTAGGGTTCAGGGTTTAGGGTTTTATAGGGGGTTAGAGAATCCCAAACAGTGTAAAGTGAACTCACTCAGCTACTAAGGAACGAGTCGAACACCCCATCCCGGGTGACGCTGGGCCGCCGGGAGGTTTGCACTCGCTCCGAGAGGGTGCTCCCGTCAAAAGTGAAGGTGTATGCCACACGGTCTTCGCCTAGGTGTTTCTGAACATGATCCCTCTGTATCCCAAGAAGTGCCCATAAGGAAATAATACAAATATCCCAAAGGGCGTCCCTGTTTAAATGTCCCAAATCCTCAACCCTAAACCCTAAAAGCCCTAAATCCTAAACCCAAAACCCTGCTTGCGCCGGGGCACTTGGAGACCTAAGCCCTGAACCGTTGTTTTGAACCCGGGCTCTCTGAGGTGCCAGCACTGGAGCCGAAGCATCACCGACGCTTTGCAACAATCCTGAAACCCTGAACCCTGAACCCTGAACCCTAAACCCTGAACCCTAAACCCTATACCCTATACCCTATAAACCCCAAACCCCGAAACCTAATCTGGCCCAGTCACAGAACTCCACCAGGTCGTTGGCTGCACCCGCTTCGGCAGTCTGCGACTCGCGCTTGCTCTGGAAGGTGTGGTCCGCGGTCGCAATCGTGCACACCTTCAGGGGACAGCATGAGCCCTGACAGGGTTTAGGGTGTAGGGTTTAGGGTTTAGAGTTTAGGGTTTAGGGTTCAGGGTTTAGGGTTGAGGGTCTGCATACCCCAGTAGGGATTGTAGTAGTGCAGGGCAGGGGATCGGATGCCAATTTTGGGGTTGATTAGCCCCACAAGACGCCGTCCCGAGGGATTCGAAGGATTCCCCCACACTGCCGCTGGCATCCGCCACCGTGCCCCCGCCCATGATGGTAAGGATGATGCCAGCAAGTAGGCATCCCAGGGAGATAACACCGCAGATGATGCTTGGGAGGAAGCTGCTCATTGCTCCTTGCTGTGGCGCACTCGACCCTTCCGAAGCGACGACAGCCGGTCTGAGCCACTTGGCGCGGTGTTAGCTTTGAGGGCCTAGGAGTCTAGGTTTAGGCTCAGGGTTTAGTGGCACCACCGCTCTCCAGCAAAGTCATGGCCTGGGAATCCGGCAGCACCATAGTGCTTCCTCGCAGATCCCACAGATCCCAAGGTCGAAGCCTCAACCCTAAACCCTATACCCTATACCCTAAAACCCTGAACCCTAAAACCCAAAGTTGCGAGATATTGGAACTTGGTTCTCGGGCCAGCTGGTAGTCTTCACCATCAGCGATGCCCATAACCATCTTCGCCTTTTAGGGTTAGGGGTTTCTTGCTTCAGGGTTTAGGATCACAGCTCTTGGGGTTTTAGGCTTTGGGTCAGAGAAGAAACCCCTGAACCCTTTCCTTGCACATCCCCCCCCCCTAACTGCCTCTCCCTCTGTCACAGAAAACCCGGTTAACTCCCTAAACCCTTTTGCACCTGGGACTGTGCTAACTGGTAGCTCCCTAAACCCTGGACCCAGAACTCAAAAACCCTTGCCCCCTAAGCGCTTGAAAGCGCGAGGTCATCCCAAGCCAGGGCACCAGGGCGCCATTGGCCCAAAGGCCAAGAAGCAGGCCTGGCGCAGATGTCAAGGGAGAGAGCTTGGGACATGAGGCCCCTAAACCCTAAACCCTAAACCCTAAACCCTACACCCTAAACCCTAAACCCCTAGCATGTTTTGAATCTATACACTTGCCATATTTTACAAGGAAGCATGTACACACTGAACCCTAAACCCTGAACCCCTAAACACTCCCCGACAACAGATATATGAACCCTACCTCGGCAGGCAAGGCTTCGGGTCCGTCGATTCTGTTGAACAGGGGTTTAGGGTATCTTTAGTTGGGTTTAAATCCACCCGCATAGCTGGACGGACCAAGGAGCAGGCCTAGGACTTGGGGCTGAGGGGCCTTTGCGTGAAGCAGCGGCTTTTGTTTAGCAACTAGGGTTTAGGGTCTAGGGTTTCTAGGGTTTAGGGCTTAGGGTTTAGGTTTAAGGTTTTCGTGATATTGGGGGCCGATTTTCCGTACAAGGAGCTTGGAAGAGACTTCCACGTGAGGGGAAGCAGATTTAGGGTCGCGCTTGCCTCCCACCTGGCTGAACTTGCGGGGAAACTCTAAAGCATCCGCAATTGAAAACTAGGCCACACACAAAGCTTTGCACTTTACACTCCAAAGCCCTGAACCCTAAACTGGGTTCAAAACCCTGTCCACCGTCAAACTCAAGCTGAGTTCTTGGTATGCCCTGAAATTCAGTGCACTATGCAAAGACAGCGGCGGGCTTTGGAGTTTTTTTAAAACCCAGAACATCGAGAAATGGATGACGAAATCAGTCTCGAAACTTTTTAAGGACCCGAAACTGTTTTTCCAGCGATCCCGAAGCTCTTGTAGAAGCAGGTCCGCAACTCTTGTTTTATGGGTATTGCTTAAAATGTAGTTTCTTGGGGGGGGGGGGACTCTCATGCACGGCACATTTGGACCATGTTTTTCTTTGTCGGTCTTCACCTTGGTTTGGTCCAGGCATGAAGGGGGCACAGGGCAGGACCTGTTCTTACACTAGTGCTGAGGAGAGAGCGGAGGACTACCACCCCTCGGTTGGGTGCCCCACGCCCTCCTTAAGCACCAGCAAGCTCTGCACCCTGACTTCCAGCCTGTCCGCTGCCAGCGACCTATCGCCATGGCCCAGGCATGACCCAGCCTTCACCAAAGTCTGCACGGGCTCCAACTCCCGGCTTGCTGTCCTAAACCTGAGTGGGAGCTTACGAATATAAAGGACCCCTATGACCCTCATATAGTATTCCCTGCAATAAGGACCCCAATACAGTACCCCAATAAAGTACCCCAATAAATAAAGTACCCTACTTTCGGAACCCCCCAAACGTGACCGTTCGCAGCTTTGGCTTGAGCTGCTGCTGGGCTCTTGCTGCAACCTGGTATCTCAAGACCCTAGACTGTGAGAGCAAGTGTTTTAGGAGTTTCCAGAGCTAGCATCACCTTCAAGACACCTGTTTGAGAGCAGCCGGTCTGCCCCCCAGATCTACCCTTCGACTCTTCGACCTCACCCAGGCCCCTTGAGAACGTTCTGCGCGGCGGATGCGGTGGCAAGACCCTCGGGCACACCACGCAGAGGAGGGCGAGGAAGGCAGAATCGGCCCCTAAACATCACCTACCGGGTGCTTGAGGAGGAGGACATGAAGCCCCCATCATACTCCTACATGAATGTTCACCCTGGAGCCCTAAACTCTCCGTTTGACTTGAAGTCTTGTGTTGCCCCCGTTCCGGATGACTCGTCTGTGGCGTGTCATGTACACAGACTGGAGCCTATAGATCCTCTCCACCTAGAGGGCCCCTGCATCGTTGATGAAGGCTTGGGGGCATGGGGCCTTGCATGACTTGGGACTGTGGAAACACAGGGGCCGACAGCCTTTTTGCTCAAGGCAACTTCGCAGTATGTGGCGGGAAAAGACTACGTAAGGGCCATGCCTGCGTCGGGTGTGCAGGGTCTTGGGCTTACTGCCTATTGGAGGCAAGACCTGCTGCGCTCTTCAGAGGCTCCACGCTCTCGGGTGGAGAGCCAAGACAGGTTCAGGGATTCTGCTGGTTGGTTCTTAGTAGGGAATGAGGGAATGAGGTACCCTATATAAGTCCTTAAAGGGTATACATATATATATGTATATATACATATGTATTTATATATATATATATATGTATGTATACATAGGGCCCTTATTCCTTGACCAAGAACCAGGGCTGCTTGCCATCTGCCTAATTTGTGGCCTCACACCACACAGGGGTGCAAAGTCGGCAACCGCAGTTCAGGCTTGGGGGTGCCTGTTTTGAGAAGCACGTCCACCGGACCCTTCTCCCGAGAGCGTGCGCAGGCCATCTGCGTGTAGCTGAGCGAGCGCGTTAGGTGCACGCGAAGTGGTTTGGGTGGCTCACGGAAGTTAGCAGTCTGGAAAGCAGGCTTTTACTTAACGAATACTGTCAGAACAGCCGCAGTTGAAGACTGAGGTATAACAAAGGTCCCGGCAGGCCTGTGTGGATCAAATTCACCCACCCCTGCGGTCGCCAGGTGGGATCCCCTTCCCAATCCATAAGGTCAGACTTGCTTTTTGCCACACGCCTATAGGAGGCTTCAGGCTATGGCTTAGGTTTATGGACTCAAGCCAGGTTAAGCCGCTCGTGTGGCAAGACCGACCCTGCAAGTGGTGGTTCATGGTTTAAGCACAAGGTTGGTGGCTAATTCATTACGATTCGAGGGCTCATCGGGTACTCGTCAGAGGAGTGTCATGAAGTGACGCTGTGGCTAGGTGACTCGATGTGGGGAGGCACTTGGGATCCCACCTCGCGCTGTTGAACACGACTACCCGCCTGCAGTGCAAGCACTGCAAGGAGGACAAGCTGTACGAGCCTGCGTGGCCAAGATCGGAATGCTGTGGGGCTATGGCGTTCGCTTCTGAATGGTTGCACTGTGTCTCCGCATGTGTGGGTGTGTCCGCGAACCTCCAAGCCTTGGTATTCACATGCCCGGGCGCTAAACCAGTCGCACCCTCCACATGAACAGAGACCTAATTGAGGTTCCTAGTCGCTGCAGCCATGACCTACCTTCCCAGAGCAGGACTACGAGGCCAAAGAAAAATCAATGCACTGCTTCCCCCAGCAGCCCCACATGCTCTCCGAACCAGTACGTCCGCGCCGGCACGACAAAATTGGAGGACGATCCCATGAACCAGCCGGGGGCAAAGAGAGTGACAGGTGGCACTTCCAAGCGGCAGGGGGGGCTGACGGAGTGTCTATGACATGATCTGGAACCGATGGTATTTTCCTCTAAGTTGCTGGTGCCTTTTCGGGCTTCGAGTATTGGCCGACTAGAGTACGAGTACGGAGCCTTCATACTGCGGGTACCCAAACAGGAGAGTATGTCTAGTAACAACAAAGGACAGGACACCTGGGGCTTGCAGAATGCCAAACATCACTCCCATGTCCCTAGTGTGAGCTCGCCATTCGGCCAGTCACATCGGCCGACCATAAGATCGAATCTTCCGGCTGGGAGGCTGCTCCGAGCCATCAGGCTCAAAAATCACGGTAACAACTTTAGCATCGTCGTGCTTTACATCGCTGGCCAAGCTTCCATGGAAGTTATGCCACGTTGTTCTGTGCAGCGTCTTGCGCGATGTTCCGATGCTTTATCACGTTCTAAACTCTATACCCTAAGCCCTGAACCTACATAGGTTGAGGCAGGGCTTCAGGTCCATGTCGCGAAAGATGCTTCCCCGGAGCCCTGAACTGGCATCATGCACGCTACATACTACAATCCCTATGTGGGGTTTATAAACCACTGCAGAGGTTCACCCAATCCCCAAGACTCGCACACCTAGAGAGCCGATGGATTCGCAGCAAAGGTTTTTGAAGTTCAGGGATTAAGACCTGTCTAGAGGGGTTTAGTGTTTACGGGCTTCAGTTGCATCATCTCTGCCTAGAGCACAACATCCTAGCAGCCATCCCTTGGAGTGGTTGCAGCTACGAGCAGCTGAAGAACCTGGCTCCTTTTGCAACATTCTGCCCCGGGAGAGGAAGGCAAACGAACAGAAAGGCTGACTATCCGGTCCACTGTCTGGATATGTTGCAAGAAAAATGCTCCTTCAAATAGGTTGTTGAGGGCGGTACCTACCTGGGATCCACAGACAGGTCTTTCCTGCCTTCCTGAGGGCAGCAGCATGCAGCAGCAGGCCAACGCACACCCTGCACGCCTGGTGTGGACATCGAACGTGTCGCACGTCATGCCACGTGTGGAGAGGGAGCAGCGACAGCCCAGGGGATCGGAAGTAGCCTAGTCTACAAGCCCGACACACAAGTCATCTTTTTCCCAGCAAACAAAATGCCAGATAGATTCAATGGGGAAAAGATGAAAAAAGCTGCTCAAAAAGAGCTATATATTGGGACAATTATTGGGAGGAATGGAGAATATGAAATGACAGACGACGTCGGCAGACAGAGCAACAAGGGCAAAGACAGAAAGAGAGCGTGAGGGGAGGAGTGGATGAAATTTACATGTGGTGGCTTAGTTGCCGGGCTACCGCTGCTCTTCAGAGCCAGCCACCTGCTCCGCATAGATCCTGCGGGGGGCGCGGGGGGCTTTTGTGTCTTGGGGACATTTGGGGCTCTTTGGGGCTTGAGCCAAGTAATTGCGCCTCTGCGGTTTTCGGGGCACTGGGGTTGGTTTTGGTACTTCGCACGATGCCGAAACCCTAGCCCCCAAACCCTGGTGCTACAGGGAAGCCAAGGCCAAGGACACAGGATCCCGAAAACGAGGGGACCTGCTCACTCAAGCTACAGGACATGGGCTTGTCGCCCGGGTACTGTGGTTGGCGCGTGGTCTCTGTCACTCAACTTCGCAAGGTCTGATGTTCGATTGGGCGCATGAAGTCTGGGGAAGCTTGCGATCATCACTCTCTCGGACTGCCCCGGCTCGGTTGCTGGAAAAGGCTTGGGGATTGGCTTCTTGCAATCTTGGGCTTCTCTGCCAAGATGCTGAAGGTCTGGGTGCCGGGTTTGGGCATCGCGGTGGTCGCTGCAAGTGTGTGCCCCTTTGTCCTGAACACGTCCTCTCTGGACAAGCAAAACCTGGGCGCGCGGAGAGACTCAACTTAAGAACCCTAAACAGCAACCCAGGTCGGGCCACAACCCCACCAAACCCTAAAACCACCAAAGTTTGCAAGTTCTGGGCAAGCCAGGGTTCGCGGCTCCCGCTGGGCTGCTTCGCCGTCTTGGGGGGGGGATCCGCTAGATTAAGACTCGCTGACAACGAAGGCCGGCGGCTTGCTCACTCTCCACATATCCGGAGGAACCACACTGGGGAGATGTTCAGTGCAGTTTAGGGTTTGTGGTTTAGCCAGTCTGAGCTCTTTAGCTCTAACAAATATGGGGAACACTAGCGTTTATTACCCAGAAAAAAGTTATGAACTTTCATCACCTCTTTCATAGGCGCCCCCCCCCAAAAGCACTCGACATGTGACCGCTAGTCTTGTGGGCTCTGCGGCCAAGGGGCTCAGCGATGCGAGGTGGTAGCATGCTCCTTTCTCCTGCACAGCTTGACCCCAGCTTGTTCCTTGTTCCTGGGACCTTCTTGAGTCCCTATGCAACCAAATCAGGTCCCTGGAGGTAAAGTGCACAAAGAAGAAGAGTGAGGGTGAGCTCATGTTTTGGCCACATAGGTGCGGTCTTCTGTATCCAGGCAATATTCAACACGTTTGCTGGGCTGTCCTTTCTCTGCTGCTGGATAAGGTTTTGTTGAAGTATTCTTCGAATGCCCCAACTCCAGCGCAACACATATCCCGAAGGTCCTGCAAAGCGACCAGGACTCCAAACTACATACCTTCCCCCAAACCCTAGGAGCCACTAAACCCGAACCCCCCTCAACTAGTATTTGCTAAAGGAACCGCGAATTTTCTAAAAACAAGTAACAACTCTTTCACCACCACCCCCTGCCAGAGAAAGCGCTCCAGTCTTCTCGGGGGCTGCGGTCTCACGCACCAGGGCTGCACGTGCCTGCAGACGCAGAAGGAAAAGCACCGACACGAGACCCAGGCACAGGCGAAGCGAAATGAATCCAGAGGGCCAGAGGACCTCCTGCCACCTAGCAGATCGACTTGTCAACCTATGGGCCGGTGGTGCGGCTCTCATGCCACGGCGGCGATTTAGGATGGACACGGTTGAAAAACCAAATTCAGGCAGCCATGGGGGAGATCACCGGCAGGCAAGGTAGAAGAAAAGGACTGAACAAGTTATCTGAACACTCTGAGGTCTATACGCACATCTATGACGTTGGTGTCGCATTCACAGGCACTCTTGCGTTGAAGAAAAGGAAGAGGCGTTACGACTTCTTGGGCCTGCTGGCTGGACACGGACAGCAGATGATCCGGCATGGGGATGACCGAAACCTCAACTCCACTCAAGCAGCCGGGTGCAGGAGTTGTGCGGCAGGTTGCAAGATGCGGGACATAGTGAGTAGTTGTCAGGTAGAACTCGAACAACCAGGATAACCACCACTTGCAACTCTATGTTAAGGTGATGCCTACTTACCTCCTCTTACTACTACCCCCGCCCCACCCCGCGATCCAAGAAGGAAGTCCCAACCCCCAGACTCGCCAGCGTAGGCAGTTCTGCAGTTCTTGGAGGTTTGCGAAGCTGGGTGTTGCTTTAAGCCCTTTGAAAATTATTTATGAACAGGTTCCTTTAAAAGGGAAAGAAGGGAAATTTAAAAATTATCCCCAAGCAATACCCAGGAAGTAGTTGTGAGTTGGCATGCAAAGCGATAGCCACGATGGTTGCCCTACTTTGCCCTACTCATAACCCTAGCTGCCAGAACTACCCTTGAACTTGAAACCTACAACTTGGGTCAGCCTGAAGCGGTCTTGGAGTCTTCGGGATGTCATGCTTGGGCCCGTGCGTTGCAGGGCGTGTGGCCGACAGCCTCCTGCTTGCGAGTTGGCCAAGTCACTCGAAAGCCAATTAATTACCCTGAAATGCATCCTCACGGCCGTCTGCGCTTTGGGTCGAACTGAGAATAAGCAATCCGCAGACGAAGTCGAAGAAAAATCCCGTCAAAACCCCTCCAAACGTGCCAGGTAAACCTGCGTTGCCGCGGCCAAACGCTCGTGCGACCAGCCCTGACCACTCAAGCACGGATCACACAGCTTGAGGCTCTACTATATCATGATCATGCGATGTATTCGATGTGGATAGTTCCTGAAAGGGCCATCCTTTATGAACATCGCCTCCGCCGCACCACACTTTGGCGCCATGGGCCCCACTACTGTCGAGTTGTCTAGTAGCGCTACCTGAAAGACAGCCTCTCGGGTGAAGAGAAGCAGCTCATCACAGGTGTCGCCGGGCTGAAGACAGGCACGTGCCTAAGGTCTTAAGATTTCTGGCAGCTGAGAGGGAGGGTTGCGTATGTGTGTGGCCCAGGATGGTGCTAGGACTTAGAACTGCCACGGAATCCAGCATATGGCATAGTATAGCCGTACGCATCTGGCTTCCTAAAGCACTGTGTGCAAGCTGAGGTCTGATCCTTCTCTGCCCAATACTTCATGCCCTCGAACACATCGGCGCCTGGAAGAAGCATTTGTGACAGGACTGCCCCGGCGCAGCCCCTTCGCCGAAACAACACTTGCCGAACTCTCAGGAATCAGGCCCCGTGAAAAAGACACCCCCTATTTAATACTAAAGTTTAAGATGTGAAGGTTTCAGCCTTCTGTGCTATGCACAATAGCTGTAGGTCGAAGTGCGTCTACTCTTGGAATCTTGCAACCCCGCAACAGGAACCTCGATGAACAAACCTTCCGCAAGGCAATCTCGAAGCGAAAAGCCCTCTGGTATTGTCAGCTGTCTTGTCAGCAAGTCTGGTCATGTCGTCCTCGGCCACTTCATCAGGGCGATAAAGCCGCAAGCTGTTGGCGAGCCTTCCCACAGCAAAGGCTCGTCTTGACGTATCGGCTGTAAGCGACGACACGCATCACAGGGCCAGGCCAACATACTCGTCCTTGCCGGCGGCTGCGTCACCCTTATACGTGTTGCATGTTCTACAGCCCGGCGGCATTGATGGGTGCACCAACGCCGACACCCATGCGGGACAACTCGATGCCCACTGTGATGCGTTGGGCTCACGCACACCCACCAAAAGGTCGAGAATGCAGTGGAGAACCACAGTCTCCCAGACCTCCTGAGGAAGACCACTGACATCTGGCTCCATGATCGTCAGGCGGAGTCATCGTAGGCCGCCTGCAAAAACCATGGCAACACAAGAGACCTGCGCGCGGCGTGCGCAGACCGCCGCCACATGCCTATCCACACTTGCCATGCCCGAAGGCCTTTTCGCTGGACTGCATCAGCAAGGCCAAGGCAAAACCAAAGCCAAAAACCGTTCAACCCCGTGGCACGCGAGCTCCTTCAAGCACCACGGGACGCCACTCTTCCCCCTCCAATACCTCGGCCTCCCTGAGTCGAAACTCCCAGCGGGCATCATGGGCATCTCTTACGGCGTGCCCTTGGCAAAGCCGATTGATCTTGAAAGGGCTCAGCCCTGTGTGCATGCTGGCGGCTTGCAACGTCCCGAAGTCTAGCCAAGGCCCAGGTTCAGCAGATGCTGTCATGCGTGCTTGCACTGGTTTCGAGCCGCCACCTGTTGCCACACGGCCTTGGCGAAAGCTGTGAATTGCATTCTGAGATTGGGTCATGTATTCCAGATTCTGTACATGGTTGTTTGCTCGGTCGGAGTCTCTGTGGTTGACGACGAGATCGGGCGAGTCAGGGTGGCCAAGAAATGTTGCGGCAACTAAGCGATGCACCAACATTTGCTTCCCACCTTTCTTCACCACACGGTAACCATGACACGTAACACTTCCACAAGTAGTATAGCCGCAGGAATACCTCCGCGATTTCGACCAAATCCTTCCATAGTTGCTCACCATAAGATCAGGGATCGGGCATGTGCCACCTGGAAGGAAGGCAGGCTTCCACATTTCGCCCGCCTGCAGCTCTTGGCTTGCCCAGCGGATCTCACGAGTTACGCCGTTTCCACAAGCTTGTTCACTTTTTCCTGAGCAGCAGCGTGACAGAGAGCTCTGTGACACACCCAATGTCAATGCAGCTTCTGCTTGCGTGGAAGCCCTAAACCATTCGTTTTCCCCGAGACGTCTCCATGCAACTGCATTACCTTGTCTCGTCATAGAGGTCCTGCAGTTCAACTTGCTATGGCGAATGTTCTCTGCAGGTGATACATACTCCAAATTGGCGAGGCGGTTGTTGCGACGGTCTCTGTCAATGTGGTTAACCTGCCACCTCTCAGCACTCGAAGGACCAATGAATGTTGTGGCCACGAGTCGATGTACGAAGTAATGTTCCCCACGAATGTTGACACCAGCATAACCGCCACTTCTTGGGGACCCGAGGCTTACGCGGCCCCTGGAGTCGCGTACTCGGCCATGCGAGCTCACCCACCAAAAATGCGAACCCCAGCGCAACTGCAGGAACCGGAAGCTTCGCAATACATTCCATGACTGCTTGCACCAGATCACACCAAAGAGGCTCATGCGTGCAACATTCGCATGGACCTGGGAGTGCTTAGAGCAGCAGGCTGGCCCTTGCACCGTGGCGTAGTTAACTCATGTCCCTTCATGCCCTACGGCTCACGCGCCTTACTCTATGAACAGCTGTAACAATTCATCTCCCAGCCTTCCTGGCACTACTTATCCACCAGCATCTCTACAAGCTCCAAAGCGGAAAGCAGACCCTCACCTGGAATCAGAAATCCAAGGCTGGGTGGGCCTACAGCCCAGGTCAGTGTGCCGCGGCCGGGGCCGCCCAGGAGCGCCCTCAGCCTTGGAGCATCCGTAAGGCTCTGCTCCTCCTTGCCCCGGCCATGAGGGACCCTAATCACCCTTACCAGTTCTAGAAGCTGATAAGGAAGTGTAAGCACCCCGTAGCATTTCATGGGGCTTAGGGCGATGCAAAAAGTGCATCAAGAAAAAAAAGCAAATGGTGGCAAATCGGAGCAAGCATCTGCAGCTCAGCTTGGGCCAGCGCACTCGGAAGAGTTCTACCTCAGCTTTGTCAGGCCAGCGGTCAGGACAACACAAGGCTCGAGCGATCTCAAATGAAGCAGCTCCTGAATCCAACAGAAACTGCGAAAGTGTTCATCCACCCTCTCACTCACCCTACAGCAACTAGATTAGCCCGAAACCGTGCACGGGCTAGTCCAGAGGTCACCTGTTCCACTAAGGCCCAGGCTGAGGTCCCGAGCTCCGGTCCCAGGTCGCGGCGCAGGCAGCCGACGCCTACTCGGAGGGAATTACTTGGATTGCGGGGGTTCCAGGATGACTAGGCGTTCCGATTTGGGGATGTCTTTTTGTTTGCCTGATGTTTGGCATTTATAGGAACAGGTTGCGGGGCGTGGGGTCTGTTTTCAGAAGTGTTTCTGGGATTCAGGGTCAGGCGATCCGGGGCTGCCCGAGCCTGCCCGCCCGTGCAGCGGTGACTCCTCCGTGAGCAGCTCGCACATCTCAATGCGCGCCTTCGGCAGAAACTTTTCTCTGCAGCCAGGAAGCCGGTCAACATTCGGGCCGGCCCCAGGCAGGGCCAACTGAAGCTAGACAAACACATGCCCCATCTGCCTCCATGGTCTCGTTCTGCCATCCTTGGCATAACCCGAGGCGACAGCGGATTGATGAGGTATGCCATACTTCAGCTGCACCCTTGTTGTATCTGGGCTGCTGGGGGCACCTTCTTGTTTTTTGCATCTGGCCTGCTGCGACTCTGCCAGGGGGCACCTAAACGCAATTATCCTTTACCTCCAGACGTGGAGGGCTCTGGCCACCTTTCGTAAGTCCTTGGAGGCTGGGAAAGTCACAACAAAATCTGACCTGTCACCTTGCATGCTCGTGGTCCTACGACCTTACGACCACAGGGCATTTCTCTGTCGGACGGGACTGGGGCTTCAGCGTCAAAAGCGCACATCCATCACCAGTCACAGCCGATGCCGTTCGAGCACGCTCAAGAACAGCAGGACAGACTTTTCGCCACTCTTCACCCGGGAGCGGCTCTTCATGGACAAACCGAAACTCCCAGTCTTTGCATCGCGTCTTTCGGCCGTGGCAAATATTGGACACGCTTGCACTGGAAACACCTGCGTGCAAAGCCGCTGCTTGCACGGACTCGAAGTCAAGCCATGGCCCCTCGAAACTCAACCTGCGACCCTGCACAGTTTTGCACTGTCCAGGTTGGCGATGCGGAAGCGCCCTCCGCAAATACGAATGCCTCATGTTCTCAGAATGCGTGACGTACTCTAAGTTCTCCACGTGGTTGTTTCCAGGGTCACCGTCCTTGTGATTGACCTCCAGACTTGAATCCGGCTCCTCAAGGAAACTCGCCGCGACTATGCGGTGGATCAACAAATCTTGGCTTCGTGCTTTACACTTAAAATACCCAGCGCCATGTCTGCTACCCTGCGAGATTTGACCTCGGCGACTGCTCCACACCCGTCCACAGCTGCTCACCATCCAGCCGGGTATGAGATCCCGTGTGTTCGGATGTTTGGCATCTCGCCATTGTTCTCCAACGGCAGAGATAGGCCGTTGCTTATGAGGTAAATCTACCCATCTGACTTCATGACGTGTGCCACGACTAGTTTCAATGCTTGTGCTTACGCCACTGCAACATTGGGAAACTGCCAAAGCAGAGACGCCTAGCTGGCTGGCGGCCTGCGCTTGCGTCGCACATGTGAACCAAACATCCTGCCCAACAATACGCCACATGACAGGCTTTCCCGGTCCCTTCCTGGCAGGGTTTGTTTGCCAAGTGTGCTGAATGTTTTCTGCCGGCGACACATATTGAAGGTTGCTCACATGGTTGTTGGAGGGATCGCGATCCAAGTGATTCACCTGCCACTGACAAGTGTTTGGAAGCGGCAAGAACCCTGCAGCCACTAGCCGGTGCACGTAGTAGAACCGCCCATCAATGGCCACACGACGGTATCCGGAGGAAAGGATGGAGCCGAAGCTCACCAGACCCTTCGAAGACCTCACCCGGCCACACGAACTCACCTGCCATGCATATCTCTTCACGCTGGCTTCCGTCCGGGAGCTGGCTAGGTCTGCAAGGCAGCGCTTCCACCAGGCCAGCGGCGCATGCCCTCTTGCAGCTGTCAACCTTCCTGAAAGGATGCTCATTTATGGGAGACCCTGCGCAGAAAGAGGTGCAAGCGGACTTTGGCTCGCAAAGGTGGATGGCTGCAAGAATTCAGCGGGCTGCGTCCATGAAGTGGTTCGCGATTGATAGACCTACAGTGACCGATGACAGTCGCTGGCCACCCACCCCCATAACATTATCGATCGACTAGGCCCTTCAAACCCAGATCAGGTGCACACGGGGTACCTGGGCTTCGTGGTGAAAGATGACGCCCAGGCCCGTTTACACGTCAGGGAGGGCTGAGCACAGCCCGAAATCCTCGAAACCATCAAAGCCGAAGTTCGAAACCCCCCAGGAGGGGAAGGGTGGGGGGGAGGGGGGGGGGGGAGGGAAGGGGGGGGGGTTTCTTCCCTGCATCCCAAAAAAGCCCTATAGTCTCAACCTTGGGACCACGCTACATCCTGAACCCTGGACCCTGAACCCGATGAATGCTTCCCAGCGTCTCTCCTTGCCGGGCCGGGCAGGCTCGGGGTCCAACCACAGAGCTGTGACCTGGCTTCGGGCGCTCTGTGTCTGATGAGTTTTAGGGTATTTAAGGTTTCGGGTTAGGGTTTAGGCTTTAGGGTTTAGGGATTAAGGGTTAAGGGTTAAGGGGTTTAGGGATTAAGGGTTTAGGGATTCAGGGTTTAGGGTCAGGCTTGGGAGCTTTGAAGGGAGTTTGCTGGTCACTAAGCTAGGGGCTTGCAAGCTAGCTTGAGGGCAAGGGCATGTACCTGAGAAACTTCCTTGTGGATCCCAAATCCCGAGAACTACTGGAAGCCCAATAAAGAAACTCGGACCAAAAACAATTGAACTGTGTTTTTTTGGAACTGGCAGCTGATGGAATCAAGTTGTGTCAAATCATCTTTTGCCGCCAGGCTTAGGGCTTCGGGTACTGGTCTTCTAGGTGTGGGTTGAGGCTGATGATGGGCTGCTCAGGCCAGGGCAGTCATTGGTGGAAAGCCCTATGAGTCGAAGGTGAGCCCTCAATGACTGTACCGTGTGGTGTGGAGTCCTGTGGAGCAGCACTTTTTGGCCAACTCAGTCGGGGCAAAGGAAGCTTTGCGATTGCATGACCCGCGTGTGCCCGCCTTCTGGTCCCTGCAGATAGTCTCCGCGATATGCGCATGTGCGCACCTTGGACCCGCTCTCCATCTGACGCTTGGGGCCATGACCTGTGGCAGAGAGAGACCTGTACTGAAGTGTGATGAGGCCCGGGCGTCGGAGGGGAGAAGGCTCCATTGAAGAAGACCTTGGCACCGGAACAGCAGGTGGCCAACAAGTGCTACATACGAGCAACATGCAGACCACCAGAGTGTGGCACACGATGGCGAGCATCGCAAAACCCTTGGAACAAGCTCCAGCCTTTCCCTTGCAAAGCCCAACACGTCTAGTGTCCAAAAAGCATCTCCCAACACCTTTAAAGCGTAAACCTCGATGATTTCAGAGAGCAAAGACTCTTTAGGGCGCATGCCAGGTGCTGGTCTCGTAGAGCTGCAGCGGCTGCCGGCATCTGAGTTCGGGATTCGGATCTGGGGACCCTCAAACCATTGGGGAACCAAGTTGTCAGAACGCACTGAGTCCTTACAGATGTCGATTCGGCACCCAAGAGTTCCAGCGTTTATCCCTGGTTTCTTCCTGTTTCCCCCGAAGCTCTACAAGAACCCAGATTGCACCTCCCGGGCCCACGCAGCCACGGAGGCCACGCTGGTGAAACGGCCGCGGGTGCAGGCTATGGCCTCACATGCCATTGGGGGGCAGTCTGGCTTTGGGGACGAGGGGCAAAGGGGCCGAGGGCTTCGTAAAGTTAAAAGGATCAGGTTGACCCTTCTACATGCCTCCGAACCATGCCAAACTCTTCTAGACCCCTTTCAGCGCCGTCTGTCTCTATCCTTTCAACTTTCTGAGGCTTTGTGAAAGATGAATCTCCCCTGTTCATTTCCTTATGGCCAGTCTCGCCGAGCAGACTGGGGACCCAATTGAATAGCCTGAATAGCCAGACAAGTTCAATTTGAGGAAACTGCAAAGTGGGAATCGCCCACCCATGCCTGCGTCACGGACATGGCGGGAGTCTCCGCACTCAGTGATGCCAACGCATCCTCGGCACTCCAGCACGGAGGGAGGGGCCTGGGGACCACATGAACCTAGTTCCGAGGAGGCGAGAGGCAAGCCAAACTCAACCGTTCTTGCTTTGCCTGTTGTGTGTGCGTGATTCATGCAAGATGGCATCCATGGGTATGACAATGAGGATTTTCGTGTAGGCTTGCAACACGTCAAGCCCTTCAAGCACTGGCAGATCCTATCCCTCGGAAGCATCTTGGAAGCCAATGATCTGGACTGAGGCCACTGCGGCAGTGTCCTTGATCTCCCCGAAGCACATCACGGCGCGCGCAATCGGAGGGCAAGGGGGCACTTATTGGAAGAAACAAAGGGGTGCCGTTGGCAGCTTCAGGGTCAGGCTTCGAAGAGGCAGTGCCCCTTTGCTGTCCTTAGCAATCCCTGTGCGTGAGATGCAGATGTCGGCTGAAGATGTGGAGAGCCTTCTTCATGTTATAACATACAGCCCTGGACTTGAAGCTTGCGGCACCATGAACCATGCGGGCGTCTTGCTTGCAGAAGCTGAACGTAGGGGTCAAGAGGGCTTATGGCTTCTGCGCGCATGACATCGTTGTAACGAATCAGTGTCAGCAAAGAACTTATGGGTTGAACCTATACCGCTCGTAAAGGGTTTACGAAAAGGAGAAGATCCTGTTTTCTCTCTCCCGTTGTTCTCTGCCGCTACGTGAATGAATGGATCACAGGACACAGGAATCGGCTCCCCGCGCCCCATTTGCCCATGGAACACCCAGTGGTGGGTTTGCGCCTATGTGTTAACCTACTTGCGGCCATGGTGGCCATAAGCTACCAAATGCCTCAGCTCCTCTGGCTCCAAACCTGATTGGGTTGGGGGGGGGGGGAGGAGTTGGCTTCAGATTCAGGGTGAAGCAGAAAGGGGGCCTGGCCACACACCCCAAACCCCAAGTAAGCCCCTCCCACGGGTGCAAGACGTGGCCCTCAGCTGACAGTCTGTGCACACACTTGGTTCACTCGGAGTGCCTGAATCCTGAAACGCCCTGGCTCCGCAAGAATCCTGCGCGCCTCCTTGCGCTCAGAGGTCCGTGTGCTTTGACTTTGGGCCGGCCTCAAAACTGCATGGCTGCAAGGCGTCTCCTTATACACATCTCAGTCATACGAGAGAGTAAGAGGGGGGGGCACTTTGCAAGCCTGAGCTTCGTGTTCGCCTCGGCTTCCTCCTTCCCCCTAACCCAACCCTTCCCCCCCCACCCCCCCCCCACCCCCCCCTTTGACCCCTCCGCCCTTCCTCCCAAGCGTTTACAATTAACATTTGAGTCCATAGGTTAAGGAACTTAGATTAAGCTAACTATCATAATACAGGTACTACATTTTGGAGTATTCTAACCTCCCTTACCCATATAAGGGACCCCAGAAGCCGGATTTTGTAAGGGTTTGTTGTTCTTTTATTCCTTCTGGCATCCCTTACTGGGCTCTTGCTCGGGAACTTCTGAAATGTAGGTACATGATCGAGGCACTATATTTTACATATCCATTCCTGCTATGTAACCCAACTGTGGCAACTTTAACCTCGCTTGCTCAGCAATAAGTTGTAACAACACTCAACAGTTCGTGACCAAGAAAAGTTCCCGAGCCCAGAGCCAGCGCCGCCTGGCCGACCGTAGGGAGTCCGACCACGACCTCCCAGCCGACTGGGGGTCGGGATCATATAGGACTGGCTAGATGCAGAATCGTATCACCAACAAGGGCTACTACAGGCCCTACTGCAAGTTCTAGAACTCCATATATGAGTGAAATTCAAGTAGCTTGGAACTGCATAAACTTCGAGCCGCAAAGTCGTAGAACATGAACCGATCTCCCGACAAAATAGTTTCTTCGTCCGTTTTGTGGTTGGGGCCAGGTCATCGAAAAAGCTGAGCGCAAGCACGAGCAAAAGCTTAGACAGCAAGTAGACTAGGACGACTGTGGACAACCTCTACCGGCTAGGAGCTGTAGTAATTTCATTTGCCGAAGTACTGCATCCTGATTATTACAGCCTCGATACAAATAAAGGGCAGCGCCTTGCCACTGCTGCTCTGGCCCTGCACGGACTTAATCTTGAAGTATTCGCTCATCTGATTGCCATCGAGCCTCATGCGCCACAACTGCACAACTGGGACTCAATGGAATGCACTTTCAAGTGTGCCAGTACTCTAGGACGCTTTGCTCAAAGGAGATATCCGCAGTTCAACCTGGCGAAGCCTCGGTGGGTTGTGACGCTTGTGGGTCCCGGCTCCAACTTTTTCCGGAGCTCGCCGTACTTCTGCGCCTTCGAGAAGTCAACCGGACTCGGAATGGTGCAGCATCTTGCAAGAACAGACATTCCAACCCCCAAGACACCTCAAACCTGAGCGGATAGGCACAAGGTTACAGTAGTGTTCTTCCCGTGAACCCCCACCAAAAACAAAAACAAATAAGAGATACAAGTACTAAACTTCAAAAAACCCTAAGACCCTAAGCCCTGGCACCTACTTAGTTGCTTACTTTCAAGGCCTGGGAGATGCTAGCAAGGCCGGCCTTCATTCCCTGCTTCAGGTTGAAGGCATCGCGGCGGGCGGCCGCCCGAATCTCCTCCGAAAATGCATTGTTGCCCATAACCCACAAAGCGGGTAGGTTAACTCACATCTTCGCGTGTGAAGTCACATCTCCCCAGTGACACGCGGCTGCGAGCGAAGTCACATCACCCCGTGTAAAGTCGCATCACAGAGACATATGTTGAAGCCTTTCCCCCAATGTGCACGCGCCGCACGCGCATGCCCTCGACACACGTGCAAAATACGCTCTTGTCACTGCACGCCTGGGAGGGGAGCACATTTTTGTCAGCGTGAATGAGATCTCTGCTTGGGGGTGCAAGTGGGTTCTGACCAATCTTGGACTCGTGAATTCCCACTGTGCACGCGCCCGAGATACGACTTTGCACCAGAAGATACGACTTAACCTACCCGCTTGTAAAACCCCAAAAAACAAAAAAAACTAAAACCCTAAAAACCCTAAAACCCCAAAAAAACAAAACAAAAAAAAACACCTAAAAACCCTAAAAACACTAAAATTTATACCCTAAAAACCGTAAAAACCCTAAGGCGGACATGCCATGATCGGACTTCATCTCCTCGCAGCTGCCTTTCTGATTCGAACAAGGTGGAGCAAACCGTCCCCCACCTTGGACTTGGCTTCCGCGCCCGCCGAGATGTTGGCCATGACCGCCTGCGCCGCGATGCAAAGAAAGGAAGCGGTGGTCTGAGACAGTCTGCGCAAGGAGGGCCATTCCAGGCCCACCTGCACGTCAACAACAACAAACCAGCCAGCAAGGTTTAAAGGCTTCTGCGGCAAGGTCATCGAAACCCTGGGCCCCATTCATCAAATTTCATCATTCTGAACCCGGAGCGTGGAGAACAGCTCTCAGCACGAGCGGAAGTACAAACACTTATCACGCATGCTTGCAATATAGCTCACATAACTCGGCCAATTTCACTGCTGGCACCTCGTTCTCAGACTTCATGACGGAGATGTGCTGAACCACCCGCTGCACCTGCCGCAGGCAACGAATGGCGCACATCGATCTGCAGGTGAACAGATCCCGTCCGGCCCATATAACCCTTAGGACCATCAAACATGATGTTGAATATTGCTTGAGGGTTTAAGAACATGAAAGAACAAAGTTTCTAAGGAGACTATGGGATCTGTTTTTAAAGCCATCACCCTCGATCGTGCACAGCTGCGAGCTGGAACTTGCAAGCCGGCCTGGCCTCAGCAAGCAACGCATCTTCGTATCGAAGTCAACACTGAACCGTAAACTTACTGTTGGTTAGCAGGGAACGAGGGAATGAGGGCCCTATACATATATATATATATATATATATATATTACATGGGGTGCCTCATTCTGCCATTCCCTACTAAACCAACAGCAGGTAAACCCGGACTCAACCTGTCAACTTGGATGGCCTGCTGCTCGTACTCGTTGACGACCTTCGCCTGCTCAGCGACCTCGACATGCAATGAACATCTCAGGGCGGCGACTTTGCTGTGCGTCGGGGAGGATGACAAGGTGGGAGTGGCCGAGAAGCAAGCGTGATGGGTGTAGAGCTTACAGTGGATGCCGCTGAGCCCGTACAAGACTCGGGGGTTTAGGGCTGGGAGCGGCAAAGGCCGAATGCTGCCAAAACCCCTACGAATGCAAGTTGTGTACTTACTTTTACCTTCCGGATTTGAGACGTGGAACCTGCTCTTGACCCACCCCCCACCCCCCTCCCCGCAACAAAACACTTGGCTACAAGCATCCTCGCTTGCTACTCTTTTCCCACTGGTGCACGGGCTCCCTCCAAGACCACCGGGCGCCACTCCTCACCCGGGAGCTCCTGTGAATCTGAAGCAAAGCGAAAGTCCCATTTTCCAGTAGGCAGATGGCTACCAGGCTCCGTCTGGCAAATCCTCGAAATGAGCGTTGTTGTGGTGCCCGTGTGTGCTGCTGCCGCTCGGATGGACTCGAACTGCAGCCATGCACCGTGGGATCCTGCCAACCGGGCCTCCACAAGCTTGCCGCGTCTCGCCCTTTGCCACCTGCCATTTCTCTGCATAGCCGCGTGACGCATGTTCTGGGACGCGGTGACATACTCCAGGTTTTGCACATGGTTATTTCCGCGGTCTGAGTCCTTGTGGTTCACCTGCAAGCTGGAACACGCAGGCTGAGCGAGGAAGGTCCCTGCTACCAGACGATGCACCAGAAATGCCCTGCCTGCCTTCCGCACTGCATAATACCCACTCGCGTTGCAACATCCACGTGAGACGTACTTGTGTCTGAACGACGACGACAAGATCCTGCCGTGGCTGCTGACAAAGAGACCTGAAATTGGGTTCTCTTCATGTGGGAGCGTGGCTGGCTTCCAGACTTCGCCGTCAAGCAGCGGCTCCGGCTCGTGCAGTCCTTGAAACTCATAGCGTGCCGTTCCTGCCTTGCAGCTTGCAGCCAAGCCGCGACAACAGCGGGAGATGCACTTTTCGCTCACGCCAAGCAGCTTTGCAGCTGATGCCTGCGAAACAGCCGGCGACCAGGAGTCACTTCCACAGGGCCTCCACAGAACAGATTTGCCGAGCTTCTCTGCCGTCGTCCCGCGCGAGGCATTGACTGCCCAGGAATGCTGAACATTTTCACTGCGTGTGGCGTACACTAGGTTCCATACATGGTTATTGCTCCTGTCGTTGTCAATGTGATTCACCTCCCACTTGGAGGAGGCTGGTGGAGGGCCCAGGAATGTGGCGGCCACCAACCGATGTACAGAGTACATTTCCCGGCCAATCGTTACACGTCGATAACCCTCGCAGGACAAAGCGCCATGGCTTACGATGCCAGTTCTCGATCGTACGCGACCACAGGAGCTCACCTCCCAAGAACTTGCGATCCAGCGGGCCTCCGCGCAAAAGCTCCGGCGACTGCAAAGCCCCCATCGCCGAACCACCAGCATCATGCCGCCAAGCAAGGCCAGACAAGTCTACGCTGAACGGCCGGTCTTGGCTGCGCAAACTCCTGATAGGCTTGGGAAAGTCGTCGAGGTGGAATACGGCAAGCAAAGAGGAAGGACGGAGAAGCATCCACAAGCACTCCTACCATCTGGTAACCATTAAATCAAATCTGCATTGAAAACGACACGTCCCGTATGTGTTCAACACATCTACATGAACTTGCCTGCACGGCCGTAATGGAGTCTTCAAACTGTTTGGCGAAGTCGACCTGCAAAGCACGAGCAGCGCTTCCGGACCCAGGTTTCAGACAAACTTCTCTCATGCCCACGAGCCTCACGAGCTCACAAGCCTTACTAAACATCGTTCCAAACAGCTAGTCCAAACTCATGGTCTGGGCCGCTGCCTTCATCATCTCAAACTGCAAGGCTTTCACGTAGCCTTGGCCTCGGTCGGAATGGGACTCACCCCCGAGACCCGGACAAGGCGCAGGGTCCAGTGCCCCCAAGGGCCCGCGCGCCAAAGGGTGCCGTTGATCTTCTCCAGCATCCTGCCACATGGAAACCCCAGCAAGTCTGCGGACAGTGCTTTCATGTCGGCATGACAAGCATTTGCACTGAAACAGCAATCCTGCATATGAGTATGGGGCCGATTCATGTTGAACAAGTTTTTTGCGAAGTATGCATTTATTTAGGAATTCTAAAGGGTGAAGAAGGGCAACTTACTTTGAATGGGTGTTTTGGGAAGTATATACTTATAGGGACTTGGGCTACTCCCGGCTACTGCACTCGATATCCTACATCCTACAGCCCTGGAGGTGTCCCAAGTTGTCCTCACAAGAGACTACGAGGGGGTGCCTGGCGGCAATGGCATCCCGCTTCGTCCAGAAGTCGGTGGGAGTGTACTCCTGTGCCGTATTACTCACCTGAGGCTGAGGCAGTCTGGGGATGTCTCGCGGGTCCCGGGGGTTCAAAAGCACAGGAGAGCTTGCCAGAGTTAGGTTAGCTACTTGAGTATCCTGTGGCATCTCAGTAAAGTTGCGGGGGCTTGAGATGAAGTATGTTTTCGAGGCTTCAAGGCCTTTGTAGGAAAAACGCGACAGCAGAGAGGCGAGCATCAGCAACACGGGCTCAGGGCAGCACCACATTTCCAGCCAGCAGCAGATATCTCTGCCTCGCAGCTTCTGCTCAGGGCTTTCGAGCTCGAAAGCAGAACACGCAAGCCGAGACACTGCATAGCCTTAGCTTCTATCGCTGCGGGCATGCTTGCCCGATACAACGGATTCTTTCAACAAGTTCAGGTTACTCGAGTTCTCCTCATCAGCCGTACGACGCCCAAGCTCCTCAGCAAAACTAACCGCCTTTGCACCTTGCAGTTGTTTACTGCTGTCCTGAACTGAGATCATCCACCCCTTCCCAACAGGCCATCCCCAAACCCCAGAACCCTAAACCCTGGCGTAGAGCCCTGACAGACCCCAGCCTGGCCTGGCAGCCTCATAGCTGCCGAAGGAGAGGTAGACCCTCAAGAGCACGGAGAGCTGCGCATGGAGGTTCACGGGTAGTTCGGCTTCGGGTTCAGGGTCCCAAGTGGGGTGCTGAGTAAGGTAACGTGAAGTCTATGCAAAATAGTGCTGATCAACCTACCATGAACCTTCAAGCAGCCTGTGTCATGGCAGGACATGCCCCAAAGCAAGTCTAAGTCTAGCCCCTGTGCTTCCGGCCGCTGGAGGGTCTCCTCCACAAACTGCACCTCTTCTCAGAGGCCAAAATTCGCTCAAGGCACTGGCAAGGAATATCACCAAGAACCTGCACCATCATTCACCTGATTCACTGCCCTAACGCATTGATTGAAACAACGCATGCCCTACTGCAAACGAAGCAGCACAAGGCTTGACGATTCGAAGGTAGTCCCAAGTCGTGTTCTAAACGCCCCAAAACCAACTACGGCTTCCCGACGTGTTTATACGAAGCCCTACATAGAGGGTACCCAAACAAGAAACTATAATTTAGAGAGAACTGCCCAAGTGAACCACCGCACCCCGTGCCTGCACCGCACAAGAGATGGCGATCGGCCTCACGAAATTTTTTAACTTGGGTGTCAGGGCTTGCGGATAGGGGTTGAATGCTTGAGGGGGTTGAGGGTTGAGGGTGTTTAGGATTTAGGGTGTTTCAAATTAGGGTTTAGGTTTTATCACCTGTCTCACATCACATGCAGGGTTGCAGAGGGGTCCATCTGCGTGCAAAGCCCCACACGCCGACCAAAACGTTGTACTCGTAGTAGAACTGGCTTTCGCGCGTAATTAAGCATCCACCCACCCAATACTTTCAGTCCCTACAACTGCAAGTCTGACCACTGACGGCTGAGGGCTCGTTACGGCCCCTGGTGCCGCCACATGCTCTGTCGACCGCATCCCCCCAAAATCTTGCAACTTCCTTTTCGACCGCTGAGAGCCGAAGGTACAAGTTTCTGGCTTGCAGTCCCAACAAATTCCTCTTCTCTTCCCTTGTGCCGACCCCTTTACTCCCACGCACGCAAGCACGGCCGTGAGCCCTTAGAAGCCAAGGGCAACCGGAGGCCCGCACTGGCCGCCGCTGTCCGGATCTTGCGGATCCGCTCCTGGCGAAGCTTCAGGGGCGTATGTGGACTTGCTTGAAGGTTCTTGGTAGTTTCCTTAACCTGGTTGCGGGGAACCCCTAAATAGCAAGATTCTTGGTAGTTCCTTGACCTGGTTGAGGGGAAACCCCTAAATAGCCGAACCAGGGTGTTGGGTCTTGGGCCGCTGGAACACTGAAAGGGCAGTTGTGCGGCCGCCTGTTCGCGTCCTCACCGGCATACGGTCTGGCGAGCGCACGGAGAACTCCAGCGTGCCCTGCTCCATGGGGCATGGGAGCACAAGGACTCCAATGTCCCCTGTACGGACCATTTCCCTTAAATCAGAATGGTCCAAAACCGAGGGAAACTGGCACCCCTGGGAATGCAAGCTGCACTAGAAAGTTTCAATGATCATAAGTGTGTCAGAATAGGGACTGAGCTCTTCCAGAATCGAAGCCCCAAATCATCCCCTCTTGCCCTCAACTCGCCAGATTGGCAGCCCAGGGGTCCAAAGGAAATGAAGTAGAGGTTCTTGTTGCTCGTATCCCCAAACAGCACACCCTATACATACGCCATCATACGCCCACCAGATGTATAAGGAACCATGACAAATGAAATGATACCAATGACAGGCCTGCGCCGCCGGAAACACGATGAAGCTCCTGTTGCAACGGAGTGGCTCTCTGGATTCACTATAGCACTTGGTCCTGCAGAGAAACCAGAGAGACTGCGAAGCTATGCAAAACACCAATCCGATGCGACCAAGCACTGTCGCAAGTCGCCCTTTACCTGCACAGCTCTGAAAGAGGCTGTGAGGTGAAGCACCACAATCGCACTTAATTAAGGAACGCCTGACATGTCAGCCCTTACCCGGACTTCACATGTAAAGCCCCAGAACGCCAGAAGCACACGACTTTGAACCCAAAACTCGACACACCCGGAGACCGAAAAGCCAGCCAAGACGTCGCCCTCGCTCCTCAGCGGGCCCAGCAAATGGATGCCACCCCGCATCACCTTTGCACACACACACGCAACGTTCAGGATGTCACCGGAATGTGCACTGAAGCTGCTAAGCCTAAGTAGAATGGGCGGGAATGAACCCGCGCGATCTTGCCACGAACCTGGTGTGGCAAACGCCCAGGTGTGTCTGAGCCCCTCCCGAGTTGCAATAGAAAACCAGATGCATCAGAAGATGGAAAGGTTAGAAAGAAGTCATCAATGCATTCTAAGCTACACTTATCACAGCCCCCCTAAGCGAAACTATGCGAAACTGCAGTGTCCTCCGGGTCCCGAGCGTGTGGCGCGATGGAGCCCGACACGACGTTCCTCAAGCGAACTCATGGCGCACCCTGAACTCCTCAGCCCTATAGTAGAATGTCAGGGTTTAGGGTTTAGGGTTCAGGGTTCAGGGTTTAGGGTTTAGGGTCATATCATATCACACATATGTCAGCCAGCAACGCAGCGAAATCCAGGCCGAGCCGCTTGGTCAGCCCATACTGGTTGGGCTGCAGCGTGGCGATGGAAGCTGTCAGGCGAATGTTCTGAGACATACACTAAAGGCTCAGGGTTCAGAGCTCCGCCAATCTCGAAGTCGTTGCAGTATGGGGCTTTCGGGTCAACTGGCCTGACATGTATGACAACGAGGGTACCCAACATGTAAGCTGGCCAGGGTGGCTTGAGATGATGGTGAAGAAGAAGAACAACAAACCTCAGTCTCCGGACCAAGAAGCCGCTCATGCATCCCAGCGCAGAGGGGGTTAGCCCAAGGTTTCATGGATGGCGGGGTTGGCTCTGAAGCGAAGTTGCTCCACCAGGTCACTACGGTCAACTTTCGGGCTGACTCGAAGCACTGACCAGATGGCCCCTTCCAGCGTGCAGGTAAGTGTATTTGGGGCTGTCTCTGTGCGAGTGATGGGGGAGTGTAAGGGCTCATTTCATGATTCAGGCCGATGCAATGCTTATATTTATCTTTAAGCTTACTAAGTCCTTGTTTTCTGGAACCTGGGGTCCTTCAATCCTACACTTCCCTTACCACAAGCCCCCCCCCCCCCCCCCCAACCCCTTAGCCTACTTTGGCAGGCAAGACTTTTCACACGTTTCACGCTGCCGGCAGGGGGGAGGGGGTGCCCCCGGCTCCGGTCTCCTAACTCTCACCGGCCGGCGCCAGAGCGAGGAGAGAGAAGTCCACCAACTCCTGCGGGCCCAGGCCTCTCTAATGGCCTTTTTCACTCCTGCATAGCCGGCCGAACCTTTTAGGGCTCGAGGGCTTAAGGTTTTACGGGCTTTGGGGGCTTGATGCGCAGCATCTCGGATCAGGGTTTGAGAGGATCAAGATGAAGGCTCAAGATGAAGTCCGGCCTCCTGAAAGCTGCACATCACGAGTCCCAACGCCGGCTTCGGGTGCTCTTGAAACATA